CACAGATACAATTTTATTCTCTATTAAGTGATTATAGTCCTGTTTCCCAACGTGTGTGTTTTAGTAGAGGATTATGGGATACTGTATAAATTATAATAATAATGTACGGGAATTTCTGGATTCATAAGGACAGACAAAAAAATAACCTCTCTGTGTTTTCCCTGTAATTCTTTTATAAGTAAAACACTAACTAATTCTTTCTCTCTCCTACAGGATCTCAATATTAAAGGTATATTACGGTAATTGCACGTGTATGTGTGTGCATGTGCATGTGTGTGTGTGCGTGTGTTAATGATAAACCCTCAGACTGTCTCCTGGGAGGAAATCAGCTCATTGCTGGCTTAGTAAATAGCACTCATTGTGTGGTTTAAGGCCCAGGCGTGGGTTTGTTAATGACAAAAATATGTGGGAATTGTTTCGAATTGTATGTGTGTAACACAAAACTGGATTCACTGAGATCTCTAAATGGGATTAAACATAAAATGTATCACAAACCTTCTTATAACAGGGATCTGTGCAGCCCTCTTCCAGTACGTTCAGGGTTAACAGTCAGTCACTGAGCCAATACCTCTGTTTACCTATATGAATGCAGGTATATGTGTGTGTGCATGATGGTATACTTGTAAACGAAAGGTGTTGTGATCTGTGAGGTGACTGTATGAAGGTATTATACCCCAAAATTTCAGCTGGGATAGAGGGATATTTTCAATTTAGGGGTGTGTGTAGGGGCGTGACCAGGGGGTTGGGCTGTTCTGGGTAGGGGTGGGACCGGGGTGGGACTGTTCTGAGAAATTTTAGGTGACTTACTAATTTTATACAGCTAAAATTTAAAGGGACACTATAGTCACAAGAACAACTACACCTTAGTGTATTTGTTCTGGTGAGTATAGCCTGCCCCTGCAGTCTTTATGTAACTAAAATGTAATTTATAAGATGAACAATGTATCTTATGTACACAGACTGATGTCTAAACACATTTATTGTAGTTTAACCCATTGCTGACGTTAGGGCATGCTATGCCGTCTTACAAAAGGAGGACTTTAATACTGTTAGGGCCCAAACAGGGACTGTCTCTCCTAAATAGGGACACTCGGGAGGTATAATATGCTGAATGTGCAGATAAATGGGTACTAACATGGGCATAGGAACCGGGGGCGATGGGGGGGACACATCCCCCCCAGCAAATCATGCGGGGGGACAGTTTATGGGGAAATCCCCCCCAGCTCTGCCGGCCCCCCTCATGCTGCAGCCGCCCGAGCGCTCTGCAGAGAGCTTCAGGCGGCTGCAGCTTTGCCCGGGCGGTGCGTCCATGAGGGCGCACCACCTGGGCGCAGCATGAGGAGAGGGACTGACAGGAGGGAAGCGCTCAGCGCTCCCTCCTGTCACTCCCTCTCTGTAGCATAGCCGAGCTCTGTATCATGGTCCACGGGTACAGGGAGCATCTGTCTCCTGTACCCGGCCGGACTAAAAGGAAGTGCACACTGAGTGTGCACTTCCTTTTAGTCCGGCCGGGTAAAGAAACAAAAGCTCCCTGTACCCGCGGACCAATAGAGGGCTCGGCCACGCTACAACAGTGGTAAGGGGGGGAGGGATTGACAGGGAGGGAGGGGGAGAAAGAGAGTGACAAAGGAGGGAGGGGGAGAAAGAGAGTGACAGGGAGGGAGGAAGGGGAGAAAGAGAGACATGGAGGAGGAAGGGGAGAAAGAGAGTGACAAGGAGGGAGGGGAGAAAGAGAGTGGACAAGAGAGGAGGGAGGGGAGAAAGAGAGGACAAGGAGGGAGGAGGGAGGGGAGAAAGGAGAGGACAAGGGAGGGAGGGAGGAGGGGGAGAAAGAGAGTGACAAGGAGGGAGGGAAGAAAGAGAGGACAAGGGAGGGAGGGAGGGGGAGAAAGAGAGTGACAAGGGAGGGAGGGAGGGGGGGAGAAAGAGAGTGACAAGGGAGGGAGGGAGTGGGAGAAAGAGTGACAAGGGAGGGGGAGAAAGAGAGTGACAAGGGAGGCAGGAAGGGGGAGAAAGAGAGTGACAAGGGAAGGAGGGGGAGAAAGAGAGTGACAAGGGAGGGAGGGAGGGGGAGAAAGAGAGTGACGAGGGAGGAATGGGGAGAAGGAGAGTGACAAGGGAGGGAGAGAGATTGACATCCATCACACACACACACACACAATCGCACAATCATGCAAACCTTACACACACAGAAACACACAACGCATTCCTTACACACACTCAATGCACCCCTTACAGACATACACACTGAATCCCGTACATACACAGAAACACACCTTGCAGCCCTTACACATACAAACACAGATTCACACAATGCATTCCTTACACACATATCAGGACATCCCCTACACACTCCACCCCCTGTGAACAAACTCATTGGTGGAACATGAAGGTGGACCCTAGGACCCAGACCTTGAGCTGTGTAAAGGGGGCCCAAAAAATGGAGCTGCTTCTCGTTCTCCCAGAACATTGATTTTTGTGACCACAGTTACAAACAGCCTCCAGAGAGCCTGTTCTACACCAGACCAGTGGAGCCAGACTGCAGCTAGAGCCCATCATCATCCTCATCTGGTTGTAAGTAGGCAATCTAGCATATTATTTGTGGCACTAATCTCTAATTTACCTCACATTAAAGAAACCCTATAGTCCCCAGAACCACTGCGGCTTAATGTAGTGGTTCTGGTGTCTATAGCCTGTCCCTGCAGGCCTTTTAATGTAAACACGGCGGCACTCCAGCACTGGCGTTAGTTAACATGGCAGATCATATGGGTGGGGCATTGTGATGTCACATGGGGGGGGCGGCAAACTTTACTTTTGCCTAGGTCGGCAAAAATCCTTGCACTGGCCCTGGCTGAGTGTCACGTGACTACCCGGCGCCCAGTCTGACACTGCGCCTGCCAGAGGTCCCCCTGCTATGTCAGGTAAAAGGGGGGACAAAGGTAGAAAAATAATTGGAAGGGTTTAGGGGGGCTACTAATAAGGATAGGGGGAGAGGGGTAGGTAGAAAAATAATTGGAAGGGTTTAGGGGGCTACTAATATGGATGGGAGGAGGGGGGAGGTAGAAAAGTTATTGGAAGGGGTTAGGGGAGTACTAATATGAATGGAAGGGGTAGGGTGGGTTCTAATATGCATGGAAGGGGTTAGGGGGTACTAATATGCATGGAAGGGGTTAGGGGGGTACTAATATGCGTGGAAGGGGTAGGGGGGTTAATATGCATGGAAGGGGTAGGTGGGGTTCTTTTGTGCATGGAAGGGGTAGGGGTGGTTCTAATATTCATGGAAGGGGTAGGTGGGGTTCTAATATAAATGGAAGGGGTAGAGACGGGTAGTTAAATGTATGGAATGCATTTCTGACAGTGTCACTGAATGGCAGTTAGGAAATGTGGTCACCCTAAGTCAGGGGCAGTATTACACAATCTGTATATGTATAAAAAAATATAAAAAGTAATCTGCAAAGTACAAAATGTTTGTGCCATATGTCGTGCTAAAAATTAAGCTAGGAATGTGCATATTTTTTTTATTTTTTTAAAATAATTTTTAGAATAATGATACAGACATTTTATTTCTTACATTTGTGATTATTCTTTTTTCCTCTCTATATTCAAGGGACACTATAGTCACCAGAACCACAACAGCTTAACGTAGTAGTCCTGGTGTCTATAGCATGTCTTTGCAGGCTTTTTAATGTAAGCACTGCCATTTCGTAAAAAGGCAGTATTTACATTACTGATGAGGAATACCTCTAGTGGACACTCAGATGGCCACTAGAGGTGCTTCCTAGTCGAGACATGAATGCCGCCCTATGAAGTATCTGCGCATGTGCGGCAAAGCTGCGCATGCGCACCAGAGAGCAATGACGCTTCTGAATAGAAGCGTTTTATTGCTCCCTGCTCGCACCCTCCTATTTCGTTATTTTGACAAAATAGGGGGCGCGGCATCAGGAGGGTCCCGGCGCTGTATCCAGGTAAGTAAAATCCCTTCCCTGTAGTGACCCTTTAATGTTATTATTTAATCATTTATATAGCGACTGCAAATTCCGTAGCGCTGTACAATGGGATAAACAACTCCTAGTTTACGGAATAAGAATATACCCGGCGAGTAAAAATGCTATCCCCCCCCAGATTTTTTGGGATTCCTATGCCCATGGGTACTAATATATAATAATATATATGTATTTGTATGTGTGTGTATGACAATGCATTGTGTGTGCGAGGATATATATGTGTGTCATGAATTAGGCCATATTATGGTGTGTGTGTGTGTGTGTGTATGCATATATTGTCATGTACATGTGTGTGCGAGGATATATATGTGTGTCATGTATTAGGCCATATTATGGTGTGTGTTTGTGTATGACAATGCATTGTGTGTGCTGTTCTGAGGGTATATGTGTGAGATTGCCTTATCGCCATGCCTACCATTTGTTGTCATTAATTAAGTGAGTCAGATACATTCAAATTAAAATTATTTAGGAAGTTCACTTATTCTGAATTATCCCAGACCCAGAATTCTAACTCCCCCAAACTCTCCAAAATGCTGTAACTTCAGGCATTAAATCCTCTGCTTTCTGCGACTCTGTGAGAGCTCATGTTTTATGAGGGTAAACTCAGCTGGGGGGCAGGAAGGGGGATTAATGGAGGAGATCAAGCAGTCAGCCCACCTGTGGGCCTCTGGTTTCCTAATTTAAAGCAAATGCTCAGAAGTGAGCTGTGCACATCATTTGCCACAATGTTTCCATAACAACTGCATGTACCCAGGAGAGTAGAGGCTGTATCCCTCTCCTCTCAGTTTGTGGTCCTGACTCCCTAACATGCTGTATCCCCCAGCAGTATTAACACACATTGTACCCCAGGGCTTTGCTGACCATTTCCTTTATTAGCAATAAAATCCTGCAAAGTGTCCCAGAGAGCCTCTGCTGTACTCCCCCTGCTATCCCCCCACCAACCCCTTGTAGACTTCTCAGCCCCCCTGGTGCTTCCCAAATGTTATTTTTCTTTGGAAAGGCCAGTCCATCAGGGCTGATCTGCTCATTTCCCTGCCCTCCCTTCAGAGGAAACTCCCTCTGTGAAACCCTAGAACCTCCTCCACTCAGATCTGACTCAGGAGTCTGTCCCAGGTCCCCTCTCAGGATTGGGGATGAAGTTTCTGAGCAGGATGCTGTCTCTGGCTGTGATTGTGTTTCTCCTGCAGAGAGGTGAGTGCTGGGGGGCACAGCTGGCAGTAGTTAAGGAGCAGGCTCCACATAATGTGTCACTAAGTTTGGGCATGATGCTGGGCATGACACTGAGGGCATTCAAATGGTTAAACATCTGCATGACTCATATGGACCAACATTGTGTAGTGAGCTTAATTCATAGACAAACTCTGTGTTTCTTATCTGTGTGCGCTGTGTGTTTCTATGTGCATCTGTTTTTGTATTTCTTACATGTGTGTTAATGTGGTATGTGTGTATTTGTGTGTCTGTGTGTCTGTGTGCGCTGTGTGTTTCTCTGTGTATCTGTTTTTGTGTTTCTTACATGTGTGTTAATGTATTATTTGTGTATTTGTGTGTCTCTATGTGTCTGTGTGTCTGTGTGCGCTGTGTGTTTCTATGTGTATCTGTTCTTGTATTTCTTACATGTGTATTTATGTGGTATGTGTATATTTGTGTGTCTGTGTGTCTGTGTGCGCTGTGTGTTTCTCTGTTTCTGTATCTGTTTTTGTGTTTCTTACATGTGTGTTAATGTATTATGTGTGTATTTGTGTGTCTCTGTGTGTCTATGTATGTGTGTGTCTATTTGTCATATTGTGCTTTGACCTGATGGACCCTGTGAGATAAAATTATTTGTGGATTAATATTATTGTTAAAAGTAACAAACAGGAACAAAATATTAGAACTAAACCTCTATCCTAATGAGGAGAATAAAAAAAAACTAAACCCTTTGTCCTAAATTTAGTTTGTTTATGTTTTAGCTGTTCCAGTGATTTGTGTCTTCAAACAATAGATATTGCAGTTTATTCTGACAAACTGATGATATGGGGGAAGAGAGAGGGGGGGGGAGGGGTTCCAGGATTTATTAGGGTACTGTAAGTGTTTATAATTCTGCCATTATCTTTCACTAATATAATGTATTTATATCAAGGAAATAGGGATAACATTATATGCTAATGCTTTTATCCATGCTGCTCTGGAATTCCCACTGTTAAACCTTTTATTCCAGAAATTGTGTCATTAAGGGGTTAATTCAGACCCCTGACAGGGTTAAAGAGAAAGGGGACCCCCAACTTATTGCTTGGCGCCCATCTGGCTCTCAGTGGGTTACATCTGCTGGTTTAGTTATTCAGATCTACTTATGGAATATATATTATTGTGCCAGTCACTGAGTGGGCGTCTGATTGGGGAATTGCTCCATAGGGGAAGAACAATAGAGACGGATCAATTTACAGAAACAAGTTGGTTATAATGATCAATAAGTGATATCCAGTTTATAAAGCACCAACATGTTCCAAAGTGCTGTACAATGGGTGAAGGACAAATACAACTAACTGCAATAGGAGGTTTGCCGTATCCCATGGAACATCTTTCATATTTGTAAATTAATTAGTGGAATTTTATTTATCTATTTATTTATTTTTATTATTATTTATTTCAATTCCGATTGATATTTAATTTATGCCTGGCACTGGGGGGAGGTAAATGAATGAAATGAGCTTTCTTGTTTAATACATGGAATACACAGAGTTATACTAGTATAGATTAATTCTAGCGCACAGTCCTAAAGTTGGTGCAGTCACCATGGAAACTGGTAGAATGGTCCTGCAGATTGGGTCGGTTTACCCGAATGCCGCAGAACTGCTCATTATATGAAACCCCTATTAATAGTACTATGTGCTTTAGCTCCTAATCTTTTCCAACTATATCTTGGGATAATAATGTAAGTAAGATGGCGTCCGTGGACTCCAGCCACCATAGCCACTTCATTGAAATGAAGTTGTAATGTAAATGGAGTGGTCATTTAATGTCAGATTATTTTCTGAATTAAATCGCTGGGACTGACTGTTAGGAAACAATTCCTGAAAGATTCATTTTAGGATAGTTCTATGTTGGAGCCAACAGGCTCAGTGATGCAGGGCCAATCCTCGGTGCGCAGGGTGCATTGTGCCCAGGCACCAGGGAGCTGAGGCACTAGGGTCCAGGATTACCTACTCCCTTTCCAAAGGTAAGCCTCAGAGAGGGTGAAAGAAAGCCCCTTATATACCTCAGTAGACCACCTAACCGCCCACTACACTCCTTAACCCCCATTATATATCCTAATCCCTAATATTGAACTCCAGACTACACCCCTAACAACCACTACTGCTCCTATACCTCGTTACAGCTAACCTGACTTCGGTTATTAGCACCACTACTGCCCCTAACTCTCCACTACTGCCTGTATACCCCACTGCTAATACCCCTAACCCACACTACATCTTCCAACCCACCACTTCAGCCCCTAACCCACAGTGCATATATCCCACTACAGCTCCTATTTCCCACAACACCTCCTATCCCACACTACTGCCCTTAGGCCCCACTACAACCTCTATCTCCCATTACAGCCCCAATTCCCCACTATCGCACCTAACCACCAACTACTGCCACTTAACCCCACTACAGCCCCTATACCCCCACTACAGTTACCTAACTCCCACTACTGCCCATAACCCCCACTACAGTCCCTAACCCCCACTATATAACCTAACCATCAACTACTGCTACTAAAACCACTACAGCCCCTATACCCCCACTACAGCTACCTAACTCCCACTATATCCCCTAACCCCCATTATAATACATAACCACCAACTACTGCCACTAAACCCCATTACAGCCCCTAAACCCCCACTACAGCCCCTATACTCCCACTACAGCCCCTATACCCCCACTACAGCCCCTATACTCCCACTACAGTAAAGGAGGAGACTATATTTAAAAGAAGAAAAACTACCACAACAAGAGGACATAGTCTTAAATTAGAGGGACAAGGTTTAAAAATAATATCAGGAAGTATTACTTTACTGAGAGGGTAGTGGATGCATGGAATAGCCTTCCAGCTGAAGTGGTAGAGGTTAACACAGTAAAGGAGTTTAAGCATGCATTGGATAGGCATAAGGCTATCCTAACTATAAGATAAGGCTAGGGACTAATGAAAGTTTTTAGAAAATTGGGCAGACTAGATGGGCCGAATGGTTCTTATATGCCGTCACATTCTATGTTTCTATGTTTCTAACTCCCACTACTGCCACTAACCCCCACTATAGCACCTAACCCCCACCACTGCCACTAAACCCCACTACTGCCACTAAACTGCACTACTGCCCTTTACCCCCACCACAGCCTCTGATATAAGCTCATGGACTATCTAACTAAGCACTTTGTATAAGAGAGCTTGAATGGCTAGATCTCAGCTTACGGGGAGGCCCCTCTCTACTTTTTGCATTTGTCCGTGCATATTGTTTGTTCTCCCCTAATTGTACAATGGTGCAGAATATGTTGGCGCTTTATAAATAAATAAATAAATAAATAATGGAGAGTCGGAGTCATTGCCATAGAAACAAGCATGTCTTGATTGGGCATTTGTAAAGGGGAGGAGTTAGTAAGATAATCGCGCCCACCTAAGGCACCCAAAAAAATAAATCTGCACCCAGGTCTGTGACCCTAGGATGGGCCCTGCGGTGATGCTAAAGCTTACAGAACCGGGTCACGTTGGGAGCATGTAGGGAGCCCTGAACCCAGTGATATATTAACAGTTTGACTTCAGTCAACGTTCCAGGTCTGCTTCTCCCAATACACAATCACAATACTTCTACCGGATGAGGCATAGTACGAGTACCAGAGTTACAGTAATTTATACGGAGATAGAACAAACATTATGAAATATTGACATGTTATGTATCAATTCATTGAATGTTAACTGATCCCTTGAGTTGTAGTTTGGGAGTTTATTCACTAAATAGTTAATTGTGATGAAATACAAAACTGAAATTTAAAAATCTAAGCCACAATTACTTCTCGTTATTTATATTAGCAAATAGTGTGTTTTGTTTTAAAAGTTGTTTGTTTTTCAAATTCATCCCATTTAGTCTTGTGAATTCATACACAGTGTAGTTAATATATTTAGATTTATTTAATTTTATGAAATATTTTACCAGCATGGTCCACAATACATTGTGGTGAAAATATTGTTGTTAATCTGAAACACTGACAGTAATAATTATCAACTGATAAAATGTCATTGATACATTTATTACTTTATAAGATTGTGTTGTGTGTTTAGCAGCAGATATAACCATTTGTGTGTCAGAGTTGGACTGTGTGCGGTGCTGGAATTACATTGTATCCAGTGACTGATAGGACAATGTGTACCCAGTATTGCACACCCACACAGGCACCCACCCACCCTCTACCTACCCAGATCCTTTCGCTCACACATTTGGTTTAGAAGTTTGTTTTGAGCATCTGAGTGAGAGAATTAAAGACAAGGAGGGGGTAATCTGTCTGTTTACATCCTGTTTGTACATCAAAGGCCCCAGCAGAGTGTGTAATACAGAGTAACATGACCCCCGGACCCTTCCACACAATGCCTGTCTATTAGCAAACATCATTATCCTCATCATTTGGCCACTCAATGCAGATCCCTGTCCCTTGATCTTCATCAATAGTCTCTGCTCTTAATGTCCCTGTCTTCAAGGAATTGTTCATTTAAAGGCCGGTTATCCCTGGTTGTAATTATTAACCACAGCTCACATTATAGGCTGGCTGTACCCGCTCTCCTCCATTAAATGACTTTAACAAATGTTGCCTCTGGCCATTTCCATCTTCTAGAAAGGCTTGCGAAAGAGCTTCTCGTTACAGCTCCTGGGGTCCACGACAACTACTGTCCCCATCACTCCTGTTCGGAGTTCAGGCTACGACTCACATTGCGATTAAGAAATCCATTACAGGAAATGTCTGACTCCCGAGCTGTGGTGTGGACAATGTTCACCTAGGCAGTCAGTGGAAGCATGATGGGAGTACAATCCATGATGACGTGTGTGTGTGTGGGGAGGGGGTTCTTGTATTAATGGGATTGTTGCACCCTGTAAAGACACATATATACCTGGCGCTATATAAATAATAAAATAATAATATATGCGACCTGAGTGGGGGCTCACTGAAGGCAAGATGCTGTGTTTTTGCCTCCTCTTGACTTTTTAGAAATATATTTTTTGATTCATCTCCATGTGATTGGGGTTTATATAAAGTTTAATCCAGACATGGACCCTGTGCTCACTGCACCAAGTGGGTTATCATCTATATCTCACAGACGAGACATAAAATAGGTCAAAACGTTTATCTGGAAATTATGCACCTGGGAACCTCAGGTTTATGACTGTAGGAGTGAGATTATTCTCATATCCAAGGCATAAATGGCTATAGTTTGGTAGGGGTAGTTTGTGTCTATGCTCACTGCTCTGGTAAATTCTTTTTTTTTTTTATCAATATCTTTGCTCTGGTAAATTCTATTTAAAATGATGCTCAACAAGACTCAATCTCGTCGACAAGTTGCCCTGTATAAATTCATTAATTCTTTGTACAACGCCGGCATTAGCCCTCGTGCTGTTCATTGTGATAAATACTCAAAAAAAGTGTTTTAAGAACTATGAGATCCTATTTTACAGAGATGTTGGTACATACAGGGAACAGATTTCCAGGAAAGGTGGATGCAATAGAATGTTAGGGAATGCAGAAATGCTTATTGTTATCCCAAAACACAAAGACGGACGAAAAATAGGCCTATTTATACCAAAATGGCATTTCTCTGAAGGCCAATGAAATAGTAGTTGGTTATCTATGTTTTTACATATATGTTCATACGAAGAAACCAATAAGCCAAAAGAAAGTATTCTCACAGGACTCCCAGTAAATACTATATCAATAAAGACACGTCCCAACAAACAAAATCAACGTTATGACCCAACTGCATCTTTATCAAGATCTTGTATATAGAGATGTCGCGAACTGTCCGCCGAACTGTTCGCGAACTGTCCGCCGGCGAACAATAGCGTGTTCGCGTTGGGCGACCATATCCGATTTCCGGTCCGCCCCCTATACGTCATCATTGAGTAAACTTTGACCCGGAACCTCACAGCCAGCAGACACATTCCACCCAATCAGCAGCAGACCCTCCCTCCCAGGAAGTGTCTGCTGACTGTGAGGTACCGGGTTAAAGTTTACTCAATGATGACGTATAGAGGGCGGACCGGAAATCGGATATGTTCGCCCAACGCGAACACGCTATTGTTCGCCGGCGGAAAGTTCGCGAACAGTTCGGCGGACAGTTCGCGACATCTCTACTTGTATACTGCCTGTGTGTGCTTTCTGTGCTGGGCACCAGGCAAGCACCCAGATATTGTTGAATATTTAGTATTTCAATATGGAGTGAAGCCAGACCAGTGGACACACACACACACACACCTGTCTCTCTGCCTCTGTGTGTGTGTGTGTGTGTATACATATGCATTTGCAATCATTCTTTTATTAGAATGATGGGCACAGCATCCAAATGCCATATTTGCCAAATCTCTGCACTCACGAAAATATAAATGAAAGAGCTCCGTAATATATATTGGATGATGTTCTTTCTCAAGTATTTCTGCTATTTCTTATTCCGTTCCAGCAACTTCTGTTTTACTCATTAATCCCTGCGGTTATTTATTCGGAGAATGGATTTCAATGATGCAAACAATTTATGTGTATTGGTGGTCTCATGAAAAGGACTCCCAGCAGAGCTGGTCAGAGGCATCTAGGCAATTGAGAAATGTGTGGTGTAGTCTTTCAGTTATTCCAATAATAAAAAGTCAAAGACATTATTAAGAAATAATATAACCCTTCCAACGCAGTTAACTATTAAATCATAAATCGCTGGTAAGACCACACCTTGAATGCTGTGCAATTTTGGGCACCTGTTCTAAAGAAGGATGTTATGGCACTAGAAAAAGAGGCGGGCTACGATATTAATAAAAGGAATGGAGCATTTTAGCTATGAAGAAAAGTTAAAAAATGAAAACCTGTTTAGTTTAGAAAAACAGCACATCAGAGGGGATATGATAGCATTGTACAAATATATTTGGGGCTAATACAAACCATTGTCCGGAAATCTATTCACGAACAGGACTATACATGGGACACAAAGGCATGTGTTTAGACTGGAAGAAATGAGATTTGGTCTGAGGCTAAGAAAATGTATTTTTACAGTAAGAGCAATAAGGATATGGAATTCTCTGCCTGAAGAGGTTGTTTATCAGAGCCCATACAGATGTTTAAACTGCAATTGGATAAATACTTGCAGAAACATAACATACAGGGGTATAATTTCTATTTAGTGGGGTAATAGCTGCTTGATCCAAGGAGACATCTGACTGCCATTTTGGGGTCAAGAAGGAATTTTTTCCTAGTTTGTTGCAAAATTGGAAGCGCTTCAGACTGGGTTTTTTGCCTTCTTCTGGATAAACAGCAAAAATATATGTGAGGAAGGCTAAACTTGATGGACACAAGTCTCTTTTCCGCTATGTAACTATGTAACTATGCATAGTGTCAGGAATACAAATGTGTATTCCTGATACTATTCTTCTAAATAGCAGTTTTGTCTCCTGCCACCCCCCCAACTCCAGTTAAAAAGGTGCTTTACTCACCTCTTTCTAGCACCTCGTGGGTCCGATCAGCATCTTCTCATAGAGATGCATTGGCTCAATACATCTCTATGGAGAAAGTCCAGCACCTCCATGCAGAGTGTGGAGACATTGCATGTCCCACGCTCTGACCCAGGAAGCACCTCTAGTGTACATTAAGCTGTATACTATACATTAAGCTGTATACTGTACATTAAGCTGTATCCCGTACATTAAGCTTTATACTGTACATTAAGCTGTATACTATACATTAAGCTGTATACTGTACATTAAGCTGTATCCCGTACATTAAGCTTTATACTGTACATTAAGCTGCATACTATACATTAAGCTGTATACTGTACATTAAGCTGTATTCTATACATTAAGCTTTATACTGTACATTAAGCTCTATACTATACATTAAGCTGTATACTGTACATTAAGCTGTATACCGTACATTAAGCTGTATACTATACATTAAGCTGTGTACCATACATTAAGCTGCATACTATACATTAAGCTGTATACTGTACATTAAGCTATATACTATACATTAACCTGCATATTATACATTAAGCTGTATAGCGTACATTAAGCTGTATACTATACATTAAGCTGCATACTATACATTAAGCTGTGTACCATACATTAAGCTGCATACTATACATTAAGCTGTATACTGTACATTAAGCTATATACTATACATTAAGCGGCATATTATACATTAAGCTGTATAGCGTACATTAAGCTGTATACTATACATTAAGCTGCATACTATACATTAAGCTGTATAGCGTACATTAAGCTGCATGCCGTACATTAAGCTGTATATTATACATTAAGCTGTATACTATACATTAAGCTGTATAGCGTACATTAAGCTGCATGCCATACATTAAGCTGTATATTATACATTAAGCTGTATACTATACATTAAGCTGTATAGCGTACATTAAGCTGCATGCCGTACATTAAGCTGTATATTATACATTAAGCTGTATACTATACATTAAGCTGAATACTGTACATTAAGCTGTATACCGTACATTAAGCTGTATATTATACATTAAGCTGTATACTATACATTAAGCTGAATACTGTACATTAAGCTGCATGCCGTACATTAAGCTGTATATTATACATTAAGCTGTATACTATACATTAAGCTGTATACTATACATTAAGCTGTATAGCGTACATTAAGCTGTATGCCGTACATTAAGATGTATATTATACATTAAGCTGTATACTATACATTAAGCTGCATACTATACATTAAGCTGCATGCCGTACATTAAGCTGTATATTATACATTAAGCTGTATACTATACATTAAGCTGCATGCCGTACATTAAGCTGTATATTATACATTAAGCTGTATACTATACATTAAGCTGAATACTGTACATTAAGCTGTATACCGTACATTAAGCTGTATACTATACATTAAGCTGTATAGCGTACATTAAGCTGTATGCCGTACATTAAGATGTATATTATACATTAAGCTGTATACTATACATTAAGCTGCATACTATACATTAAGCTGCATGCCGTACATTAAGCTGTATATTATACATTAAGCTGTATACTATACATTAAGCTGAATACTGTACATTAAGCTGTATACCGTACATTAAGCTGTATACTATACATTAAGCTGTATAGCGTACATTAAGCTGTATACTATACATTAAGCTGAATACTGTACATTAAGCTGTATACTATACATTAAGCTGAATACTGTACATTAAGCTGTATACCGTACATTAAGCTGTATATTATACATTAAGCTGTATACTATACATTAAGCTGAATACTGTACATTAAGCTGCATGCCGTACATTAAGCTGTATATTATACATTAAGCTGTATACTATACATTAAGCTGTATACTATACATTAAGCTGTATAGCGTACATTAAGCTGTATGCCGTACATTAAGATGTATATTATACATTAAGCTGTATACTATACATTAAGCTGCATACTATACATTAAGCTGCATGCCGTACATTAAGCTGTATATTATACATTAAGCTGTATACTATACATTAAGCTGAATACTGTACATTAAGCTGTATACCGTACATTAAGCTGTATACTATACATTAAGCTGAATACTGTACATTAAGCTGTATACTATACATTAAGCTGCAGTTGGTCTGGTGACTATAGTGTCCATTTAATGTAAAGCGGACTTTGTGCACTGTGTAAATGCTCTTGCTGCTTCTGTCTCTAACAGTGTGACATGTCCCCCCTTTTTTTTTCTTTTCCCCCTTAATTATTAAAAGCTAAGTGTTGAGGAAAGTCCTATACAGATTTCCCCTAATCTGATTTTACATTAAATTTGGCCGTGATCTCTTAAAGCCACAGTAGGCACACATTTACAAAAATCTCCTGTGAACTCTGCTGATGGCAATATTATGATATACTGGTAAAAATGTCATGTGATAACTAACTCTAGATACATAGTGATACATACCGGCTTTAAAGGTAGTTCCTGCTCCCCTCCCAGAGATCTTATGTCTCTAGAATTGACTGATTTAATTTAACGAAGCAAACTGTGTAGCTTCCTTTCAGACTGTTTATCAAGGCTGTGAAGTAGTGGTGGTATCCAGTAGTTAACATTTTATGTGAGATTGGGCCATGGCGTGAAGGACGAATGTGCTATAAATGATGGCGGAATGAAAATACATTTTGTTAGCTGGATAGATAAATCCATGTCGATATGGCTTTTCATTGTTTTCTTAGTCAGCTCCCCCTGAAATTGAAACAGTGTGAAATAATAAAGTGCATTATCACCAGGGAGATCTGGGGTTTAATTCCCATGGTCTGGTATAAGGACGTGGGAGATCTGTGCTTCCACTGGCTCAGATCTCTATTTGTGGCTTCTCTTTGCTGATGTTCTGTAGTTGGGACTCAGGGACATGGACCTGATGCCATATCAAGACACTCACAGCCAGTAATTCCTCTCACCAGGACGGGTGGTGTGTGCCACCAGAAGTACAAATTGTTTCAACCTCATCGTAGCTTCTAACCTTTTACTCAGGACAGTCCTGATGTGAAAGCCTTGTTTGGTGAAGTCATGTCTTCCAGTGATTTTCTTCTTCTATGGGTCATTGGAGATGAATAGATTGTGTTGGCTTATCAGTGATGGTCCATGTCGTGTCAGCTCATATTCACTTGTGCGGCTGGTTTGAAAGCACAGTACTTCTCATCCTAGAGACTACTGAGAGAATTTGGGACTGGAGGACAGTTAAAACATTCATTTTGGAGTTACACCTCTGTTTGTTTATACAGTTTGTATTCTGTAGACTCAGTCAGGTACTTACCAAACACATCACATTTACAGGTGCTCCAAAAGTCACTTCTCATGGTATCAGTCTTTTGTCCCCTTCTCATTAGTCTGAGTTCTTATGACGTCAGAGTGACCGATTCTAGGATGTGATCTCAATACACAACATGATCATACATTGTGACTGGACGTCATCATTATCTCTGAGTCCATCGTATCAGAATAGATGAGACAAAGTCCTATTATTGCTCTTTCCAATGGACATACTTCTGTTTTTACCTTCTGATCTGTGTTGACATACCTGGAAAGATATACAATACACAAAGTAAGCTGATATCTCTGTATTTTTATTCCTATTGAGAAAGGGAAAAAAAATAATTTTTTTAGATATAAGAGAATGGGAGAATCCCCCAAAAAACAGTTAAGAAAATGTTGACCACAAATCTGCTCTAGAGTTTCTCTGGAGACCAGTGACCTGGAAGTCAGTAAATATGTGCGATACCTGGGGATTTGTGTTGATGGAGTATAGAATCCATTGGACTGTTGGAACCTGAGGAGGTATTATAGAAGCAAGTTCAATTGTTCCACTGCTGCTCAGACAGGTCACATTGTCTCATTGAGTATCATCAATGTGGATTGTTCAGTCCACTCGAAGAGATATAAATGTAGTAGAGGGAGATCTATCTTATTGAAATAGAACTTCTCCCATTATTTTACGGGGTTTATGTACAAATGAGTTCACTGTCTCAGGCCATTCCAGATACCTCCTTCATGCAAACAATACTCTGCCTATGTTGTGGAAGATGAAACTGTAGGGGCCAAAACATCCAGTGATGCCTCCAGGTGGATCAAAAGCTGGACCTTGATTTTTTAAAACTGTACATCTTTCCAGTTTATCAGTAAATAACCACCAGATGGCTAAATCCGGAGAAAGCACGATTCATAGCTTTATGATAATTTTTCATAGTTTTGTTAATCAAGCAGAATTCTTAATGTCATTTTGCTTCTAGATATCTGTGTGTGCCAACCTCTCCATTAAATTTTATATTTATTAATGAACATTTTTAATAATTATTCCAAGTCAGGAGACATGAATTAAAATGTTTTGCCAGTGTACGGATTTTATTGGTAGTATTTTTTATATGAGTTCACTTGAGATGTTTTATTATAAACTCAGGTTGGACGCAGGACGCCATTTAAATTATGATGAATTAAGTGTTAGTATGTTATTTGTGCCAAATTGCCCGTACAGTCAGCGTTTGCAGCTTCTGCCAGAATTGAATACACTGACTTCTACATCAGATATCTGGAAAAGTTTTTTGTGTATGGGTACAGTTTAGATTTGTCAAAAGAAAAATATGCCAGTAAAAGTTGGTGAGGACAGAGTGTGATTTTTTTTAATACAGAACTAACTTAAAATAGAGGTTTCTGGTAGAAGGAGAAGATTTCTAAGAGAATATGGGTGATTTCTCAGGGCAGATTCTTGGTGTCAGAGATTGACAGATTCTTGGGATGTTAGGGCAGATTTTCATATTATCTCTGAATATCCGGATTCTTTGCAGGGAATTGAAGAAATTAGTTGGGGCTATATAAATACCAATAATTAATAATAGAAAAGGGCAGATTCTAAATGTGTCAAAGAGCAGCTTGTCAGGGTAAATGTGCAAAGTTTCAGGGCGAACGAATGTGCAGATTCAAAGGGTCTGAGGATGAATGGGCAGATTCTCAGAGTAAATGAGCAGATTCCCATTAAAAACATTCTAGCAATGTCACTTTCTAAATCTAGGAGCCGTTATCAGGATTGTTCAAAGTGAATTTTATCTCCAAAGTAACCAAACCGTGAGCATAACTGACTTGGACAATTTGTCTGGTTTGGCTGTTTTGATGTTAAATTTTTAATTCACTTTGAATTGACTTTGCATTCTGACTTTAGTAACACTGTATGGTAGGCCACTCCTGTCTCTCTTCCGCACCCACCTTTATAGATCAAAAAAGACCCTTATCCACTGATTACGTGGTCCGTGGCTTGTGGCCAGTAAAAATACTCAGCTATCAAAGTTGGCAAAAGATTACTCGGCGTCTCCCAAATGGGATATGGAAGGGTTAATATAATGAAGGGTCTCTGGGTCAGCAAGTCCAGGTGCATTTATGCTTAATCGTTTTCCTTATCCAGTTGATTTTTAATCACTTAGATGAATAGTATTTCGTAATGTTTTGTTAAAAGCCTTGCGTTGGAAACCGCAGGGGATCGCAGTTTGAAATAGTTTTTAACCTCATTAGCTGATTCACAGACAGCTGTAACGTCATTCTCTTGGCATTCTTTGTTTTAAATTGACCAAGCATTTCATTGTATGATTTTACAGTCTGCCCGGTACTCGGAACGTGCACAGAGGGGATTATATACTAAACAGTGAGTTATAAGGAGTGTCATGGGAAGGTGAAGCTGAATTTGCTAAATTTATACTAACATGGTTCAGATAAAAATATACTACTCAGCTACATGACTAAAGTTGTGATTTTGTTTTTCGCTTCACTGTTTAGTACATAACCCCCATTCACAAGCCAAATCTACTTAAAAATTTAACTGTTTTCGATGGAGTACCCCTAGGCAAATGGCCTAGATCTGGTGATTTTTCAATTAAAATGGATTTACATTGGGAGACTCTCTTGGACAGCATGGGCAGACAGATGAGCTCAAGCTGTACAAGTACTTGGATGGCTCAATGGGAAATCCATGGTTCCCCAAAGGACATCATTGAGTAGGGGGTGGAACCTAAGTGCTGTAGATTTACCCAAACATAAAGAAACCAACAAGCATTTCAAAGGTAGATTTTCAGAGACCGTTTTATTGCACCATAACCACTCAATAGGCTTTAATGTTTGTTGTGTTTGGATTGCCCTTTAAGCATTGCTTCTGCAGCAGCGGTAGGGGGCATATAAAACACTAATTGGATGTATCCATCCCATGACCATGCTATCCTAGCCAAGACTTGTTACAGCTGGCCCGGACTATCTCAGGAGGTACAGCAGAGAAAGGCACAGGAAGGTAGAATTTTGCAGCGTTAAATAGTACAAACTAATTACGATAATATTTTCCAAGTCATTCTGCTGTTTAAAATATGAAATAAATTGAGGGTAAAATTAATAGAAACAATAATCTTGAAGAGAACAAGTCCTCTTGTTTTATATTTTGGTAAAGTCATGTGTTTGCATTAGACTTGTTACTAGATATCATGTGTTGTATTCATTACTGAAAATTTTATTAAAGCGGAAATGGAATGATTTTTTTCAGCTGCGGCTCAGACTATCCTGGACACTTGCTGCACAAGTGGGAACGATTGGGCGAATCAGAAGAAGGCATGCGGCTCTCTGCCCACTGTGTCGGACAGCTTGGACTGTCGGTGAGTGGACAGGCTGCGCGGATCCTAACATACTGTATTAAATTAGCCCCTGGTGCTGAAACGTTAACCGGGACAGGCCGTGGGCCATTATTTCTTGTTAAAACCCATATTATCCAACAAACAAGAATAATATTTATTTATTATAAAAATAAAAACTGCTTTTTCATCGTCTTTGTTTAATTGAATTAAATTGAATAAATTAATGTCATACTTTATTAACCTGGATCATGTGACACCAGGAGAGACCAGTGATAGGTCTCATGTCTTTTTTGTTGTTGCTACAGGATATTTTGTTTTGACGTTTATTCATTGCTTTGTGTTGTTTTTTCGTGAATATGGTTAATTAGCTATAAGTGCTCGGATAATTGACCAATCTGTTATCCTGTTATGGCTTTTAATTAATATCCTGCCTGGGTGTAGCACCTCACGTTCGATAGAACACTCGGAGCTAAGGATCGTTTTAAATTCACACCAATGATACAAATGTTAACATTTTTCCAATGGCCAAATTGATGAAAGTTCGACAATGCAATTTACACAGAGTTGTTCACTAAAGTGTGAATTAATGGGAATTCAAAGTGAATTCAGGATGAATTTTAGACCAAAGAAGGAAAACTAGACACATAACTGACTTGGAGATGTTTTTCAGTTTGGTTATTATGGCCTTAAATTTGAAATTCACACTTTAGTGAATACGTCTGACAGAGTTCATAGGTCTGTACTGGCGTCTGGCGCTACGCTGCCGGGGCCATAATTTCATACTGAATGGCTGTCGGCCAGCTGGACCTCCAAATAACAAGCCACATGTCCACAGTAGAGTGTACCTTGAGTATACTCAGTCAGTGGGCATGTATGGGAGCCTGGCAGGGCCAATTTATCAGGTGCTAGAAGCTCTGAATCCAACGTATTCCAATTATAGTGTGTGAAGATTGTCCAAAGCCAGAAGATAGAATGCTTAGTGTGTACATTGGCATGTAACATGTTTAGGGCGGGGTAACGATCCTCATCTGATGTAAATCTAAACTTGCTGTTTGTATATATGTCGGCTGCGTGCTGTCGATAGGTCTATTGCATATTTGAGGGCATTAGTAGACTGTGTTGCCTCTTCCATTGACTAGGACAGGCACTGCAGATGTTTTGGACTACACCTCCCATGAGGCTTTGCCAGCATTATGGGTGTAAGAGCATTATGGGGGTGTAGTCCACAACATCTAGGACATTCCAGGCACTAATATCAGCCCATTGGCTGCTGGGCCCCCTTTCCTACATGACAAAAACCCATAAAAGTGGCCCAGACATTCGCTATGACACGGCCAAGTTGCCATCTCTGCTCTCAGTTTAGGGATTTTTGGTTCACAATATGGGTTCAGTCTGGTAGTTGGATTATGTTTACACAAACCTTGTTATCACTAAAGTGAGTATTGGGTTTTCTTTAATTTATTTGGTTCTTTTTAAGTAAAGTCATAAATATGTTAAAATACCTTTTTAATTCTGCTTTATTTGCTTCATAAATAATACATTTAATGCACTAATGCTATCTAATATCTTGTATAAAAAAGGCACATGTTTTGTGTGCCCGCTCTAATGAAAAGAGCTGTGTACGCGTTTGTGAATGAACCCGGATAGTGCCCGATGAATTTGAAGGGTGATCCAGACTTGAAAACTTCCCTGACATCAGCCAAATATCCTTAAAGGGTCACTCCATGGCGTCATAACTACTACAGCCTTCTCCATGTACCATGACCACTTCAAATCGCAGGTGATTACGGTGCTTGGAGTGTCCCATTACATTTAGTCAATAAACGCACTGTTTATATCAATTCATTGGCAGGATCCACCCATATTCAGCTTAAAGGAACTCATTTCACATCCAGGTCTAAAGCAGATGTTCTGACCCTCTTCTGGTTCGAATTACCTAAAAGATAAAAGTATTCTTTGTGCCCACGGGCCTTTCTGTTCCTGAAAATTATTACCTGATCCTCATAAATCCCCCAGAGATGTTACAAGTTTTCCTTCAGAATGGAAAGTTTAGGATATGGGTGAAACTTGCATCTTCTGCAAAATGTTGGAATTCTATAAACTCTACGTCTCCTGATTTGACTCCAGGCTCTTCTGGTTCTTAATTAAAAAATAATCTGTTTGAACATTATACAAAATAACTATATTTTATTGATAGCAGAGGAAGGAAGCAAACATTCTTACCACCTCCCTATAAATCTTTGCTTTTTTAGTATCCTGACCCTGGGAAAGGAGGACATCAAAAGGATGTAGAGAGGAAACCTTTTGGCTCTGTGAGAGCAGCCGGGGTCTAATAAATACCAGAAACATCTAGTTTGACTTTGCACTTTTCCCCTGAAAGTAATTGGTGATAACATTGTCTAGGTCCATCCTTTACCATGTCAGGCATCGTAATAGGGCGTCATTGACCACCGCAGAATAAATATTATAAAGCTAGACTTGTGAAATCCACAAGGACTTCCCAGATAAATATAATTTCTGAATGGACCACACAAGAAAACATTGCAGTATGTGTTACGGAAAGGTAGGGCAACTGTTACGTTAACTGACGGCAGAGAGTCAGGACAAACAGATGTTTTTTTTTTTTGTCAATGTCGTATTTATTCATTTTCATTTTAGGTACGGTTAGCAATGGATTATCTGGAAAACTTGAGCAATCTTAGCAATATTCTATCTAACAGAATCTCTTGCTTTCATTTATAACTGTTAAACAATGTCACATAATAAATGTTGCATAGGTTTTCCAATATTGCTGTGATCTCAACTTGGACAAGCACCTAGATTTACAAAAACAAGGTCTCCAGGCACTCAAGGTATTCAAGCCGTAGGCAGATTTATTGGTCTGAAAACATGGAAGTCTTTGTCAAGCTCGTTGCAGGTCGAATCGTTGCTGCTCTTTCATGTTTTTGAACCAATAAATCTGCCTATGGCTTGAACACTTTGAGTGCCTGGAGACCTTCTTTTTGTCTGCCTGATCGTTGGGATTGCTAGTCCTGCTCCAGTGCCCCTGGTGTTCACTGGGATTGAGTGCAGCTAAAGTTGTTTTGCCAAAATCCCACCTGCAAAGACCCAGGTCAATAACAATGGTCTTATCAATCTTGTCTATGTATTGGACAGTCTCCCAGATCCTTAACAATAATTTTATCAATCTTGTCAAGATCTTGTTAATCTTGTTCACATCCCAAGTATTTTGGGAACCAAGTATTAGTAAATCTTAATCCCATTCTAAATTCTATTAGGAGCGTGTTGTCTCTAAACCTTGGCACTATATATTTCTACTTGTAGAATCACGCAGGATAGAGATAAAAGTGTTGCTTCATTGATTTACTTTAAAGCATTAATAGTTTTGTTAGTAATTCATTTCAGATGACTTGTTAATCTTCTTGTCCATTTTCCTAATTTAATTTGTTTTATGCAGATATCACGTGTTTGTTTCTGATTAACTGTCCTTGAAATTCGGCATTCACATCCTTTACATATATTGAGCAATAGTCAAATCGTGCTCCTTTATCCCATTGGGAGCAATTTATCTGAGATGTAAAATGTACATTAGTTAATATGGTTCTGCCCTTATAAGGCAAAGCCTGAATTAATCCTGTTTTATCATCAAGAACAACACAAATATCGGTGAATTTAGTTTCAAAGTCCAGTTTTCCAGGGAGCAATTATCTTCCTGATCCAGAGACAGACTGAGAGTGACGAATAATAATTCCTTTTATACTGCTATGTACCTGTATAATTAACCGGCATCGAAATAAGCATTACACAACATGCAGACACGACTCCATCAAATCATTCAGAGATTTTCCACCATCCTCTGAGCCCGTGTCCTCCTAAACCATTCTGACTCCTCTCTCTCTAATCCAATCAAGTGCTATTTCATTGTGCGCTTCCCTCCTGCCAGTTAGCCCAGACATGGTGCCATGTATTACAATAAAAGCAGTTTATAATAAACCCAAAGGTGTTTTTACCCTAAATGATCTAAAACCAGAGATGAGGGCGTCTGTGGATAGATGACCTCAGAGACACAAGATGGTTATTTTTGTACTTCGATTGGTGTGTTTTTAGGGAATATTCAGATATTCTGTGTGTTTTGTGGACTCTGTATTCGTAAATGGTATAAGTAGGCCTACCTTTCTTTACTGAAAGTGAAACTTTTTTCTTTTTTGTAAATTAAGCTTTTATTGTTTTACAACAAATTAGTAAGTACGAGAAAGGGACACGCAGGTCCTCGGTTGTGACTATGACAGATACAAAGAAAAACAAAAAGGCAGTTTTGTTAGCCACACAGGGCTAAAATAAGGTTCATAAAGAGGAACGTGGACACACGGGTCCCACAAGTGATATCTTTATTTTAATTCTTTATTTTGGTTGTGCTGAGATGGTACAAACAGGCTTCCAATGACACACTAGCCAGAACGAGTTAATCAATTTGCATAAAAAACCAATTGTATAGCATTGGGTATCACAGCACTTTTTGTTTTGTTTTGTTAAGATGAGGGATAATAAGCTAAGCCTACAGAGTATCAAACAATGGTTCCACCGCAAGTGATTGTCAAAGTAGGGGATGAGAGAGTCCAGCCCACCACCTAGGCCTGAACTAACCTAACACGTGAACTGAAAATTTAACAAAAAAATATTAAACAAACATGCTATCTCAGCTAAGAGGGGAGATGAATAGTTGCCGAGCTGCATTCCTCAATGTTAAAAAGAGTTCAGATACAGAGGGAGATAGAGCAGTGTATCCTATGTGTCTCCCATGCCTCTTTCAGCCGATGCCTATTATGGGCAAAGTGCAGCCACTCACTATGGCACAGGTCAGCGGACCCGGAGTCAGAGACAGTGGCAGGATATCACCTGAGCGGTATGTCAGTCCCTGTGCTGTCAGCTGATGTTCTCTCTTAGCTTGAAGCCTTCCCAGGGCTCTCTGTTGAGGTCGGCAGCTGCAAGTAATCTTTTGTTCTGTGTTTCTTGAGGCGGGCTACCACAGTAACCGCAGCCATGTGATGGATCCTGGTACGCCAGGGTCACTGAGCAGGTAAGCATGGTAGTTTGGCTGGTGATACAGGCTGGAGGTATTTTTGGAACAGGTCCTGCCAGAATTCCTCCCGGAGGCAGTTCATTTGCTGCAGATCACCGCGCCCTCCCTCCTGTTGAGCCCAGGAAAATGCAACCTCTGCCATATTGGGTTGTTCTTGCTTAAGTGCCCTTACGGTGGGCACCAGGATCACCCCCGGTCCATAGAGGGGGGTAGCGGGGCTTCAACTTCATGATATTGTAGGCCCGCGTGCATGGGGATGGGAGATTGGCCCCTCTCCCCGTCACAACGCCCGCTAGGCCTTGTGTAGATTGCCACCTGGGTGACCACAGACCATTACCGGAGGCAATCCCAAGCCGGTCAGTCAATGCAGGGTGCCAAGAAGGCTTACTATGTTCAAGATGTGTAAACACAAGTTCTGGCAACTGAACTAATTCGTTTAGGACTTGAAGAGTGTTCAGAAAACACGACCAGTCGCCATTGCAGTCAGGCCCGCCCCCCACAAGAGATATCAAAGCCATTAATACAAAACATAAATTATAACACAGGTTAAATCAGTTAGACCATATGTGAATATAACACATCCTGGGCCCCGAAGGAGCGGAAGTGAAATATCAATGTGTATATATATATATATATACGGAATCTGTTGGCGCTATATAAATGGTAATAATAATAATATGCATCACTCAACCAAAAATAGACTTTTGCCCTCAATTTGGTGGGCATTTAAATCCTGTGCTATTACAGCAGGTGGTAACCTATTTGCGTTTAGTAACTTAGCAATGATGAACCTTGAACACATTGAGACTCAAACTGCATGTTATCTGTGAAAGCCTTCTCCACGTCTGAAGACCTCTCATTATTCCTCCCTGGACGAGTTAATCTGGAACGTCCCCAAATCCGGTCGAAATTTCAGTGTTTCATTATTTTGTTGTTGTCACTTTGCCTAATGTTAGAACGTAACATGAAGCTAACGAGTACCCTTGTTTTGTTACTATGTAGCACCCATAGTTTTCAGTCATTTTAGATTGTCTTGAAATGAAAGATTTTAATAATGATAATTTATTTATATAATTTCATCTCTTTAGAATCACCCAGGAGCAATGCTGCATGAACCAATTGGAGGAACTGCATTGCACCACTGGAATAAACATTGCCAGTGAGAAGGACAGCTGTGAGCTCAAAGAAGAAAAAACTTCTGTCTTCGAATCTCGCTTTATAAAGGTAAGGCAGGATACTCGATATTACTATAGACTTAGTCCTGGATTTTGTAAAAAGAAAAGGTAGCTAAATCCATGATTTCATTGAGCCAGTGTTGGTCTTACTATATGTTTTGTCCTGTATACAATGTCACTGTATGCCATTTAAGTGTTGGTCTTACTATATGTTTTGTCCTGTATACAATGTCACTGTATGCCATTTAAGTGTTGGTCTTACTATTTGTTTTGTCCTGTATACAATGTCACTGTATGCCATTTGAGAATACATTGGATCACTGCGTACAGAGCGCCAAAAATGCTCAAATTCTGGCCTCCGTTTCATATTCTGAATGAGTTTTTCAAATGATTTAATTTTGTGGGAAAACCTTTAAAATTACTTACTATTTAAAATGTATGTTAATATTTTGATATTTTGATACTAAAATTTCTATTTATATTTTTTTTATATTTTAATATTTTGAAAAAAACATTTGTATTGTTTTTTTTTTTTAAACTAAAGCAAGGCCAAAGTTGGCTAAATAAAATGGTGCAGAGTGTTGGAACACCGTGTTAGCTGCGTCTTAAAGCACCATTGTGTTGTAATTAAATAACAATATCCCAGAGTGCCACAGCAGGATATTACTTGTGTTTCTTTATATTTGATTTAAAATGGAAATCTTGTTTTCAACAGCGATGCTGTGACTGCTGCCTGCTGGGAAAAACAGCGCATGTGCAAGGACGGATCTGCGAGCAGAGCATTTATCTGGGATACCAGTGTGGTCTGGTGTTCAGGGCCTGCTGTGAAAAAGCTCAGGAAGGGTCTAATGTCCCGGGCAATGGAATTAGGGATGAAGGTACAGTATTGAACACAACAATAACAGCCGTTTAAGTAGACTAGCACTTACGTTAGCATTAACACTGTCATAGCTTTGTTTTTTGAATAATAAAATGTTTACTTTTATTCTGTATAATGATAGTGTGTTCTTTATTCTACTGACTCCCTTTTCAAGCTAATATTTTGACGCTGTATTTAACTTGTGTGGGACCATAGACCATCATGGGCTTTCTTTTCGTGGCTGTGTGGTAAGATGGTTAAAGGAACACTCAAAGTATTCTAACCACTACCGTGCACGCTAGAGGTTCTGGTGCTGGCACGCTAGAGGTTCTGGTGGCTCGTATATAAGTTTTCAAACCGTTTGGTCAGCAGGCTACGCAGGGATCTGGTCACCTCGGAGTTAGAGAGTTGGAAGCTCTCTGCATTGAGCTAATCCAAGCACAGCATCAGCACTCTCAGCCAATGCTAGCCCGGCATGATAGGATTTAGCTCAGGAGAGCTTACAAAAGCTCCATGCAATAGTATCAATAGTATCTGGCTATCCATAGAGACCGCCTCGCCTGTTTACAGTGAGAGGTTGACACGGCACTCCTAACACTGTAACCATTACAACGTGCTGATTTTGTTATGGTGTTTGGGGTGTCCCTTTAACTGTCGTCCAGTGCAAGATGACCTTGTGATTGTGCCTTTGCTTGTTGTTAGAAAGATAGATAGTTTATACAGTAACATGGGAGTAACGTTAAAAAAGGGGATACATAACAATCCGAGAACATCCCTTTAGAAATGTACGGAAATGCTAAATTTGTTATATATGCTAAAAAAGTCTTAGATGCCGAACAAAACGAAAACATTGAACATTATAAAGACGGTTTGGAAAGTCCGATAGTTCTAATATGAACAATGAAATTACCCTCTGTAACACAAATAGACTCCGACACTACATCAGAAATGTTCCAGGAATGGGAGATTTCAGGCTAGAACAGCTGAGCTGGAAACATAGATTCATGTCAAAAATAATTTCAATTAATCTATAAATTTGCAATTTTTGGTCAATTTTCAGCAATGAATTAAGAGGAGAGTTTGCCATCTCCCAGCTTTATCCTGAAGGGCTTGTTTTACTCTAATACTGTATACATCGCTCCTATCATTTTACATTGATGGCTTTTATAAATAATTCCATAATCCCATCAGCATCCAGGTACAGGTTAGCTGTTATCGCAGGTAACTATGGGATTTCAGCTTTAAAAAAAAAAAAAAAAAATTGAATTCTTTATTTTTGCAGTGCAAATATATAACACAAGCTGGCGAGAGGTGCCCCAAAAGCAGTCCTCTAGCTTTTCCCACGCTTAACATGCGGGGTACATGAATAACAGGCACCATTTTATGTTTTAATCAGGTTTAAGCATTTAGATTTAAGAGTAGAGTGAAAATATAATTAAGTTAGGTCGATGCAATAACCATGAATGATCCAATTAATGCAATTACACGTCTGTCAAGTGTTGTCTCGGAGTTATCTAGACATAATTGTGGCTATGCTGCTTCTGTAGCTATCAAGGTCTGATACAGGTTTTAACTTAGCAGGGTGAGCAATAATCGGTGCCTAAGCCAAGTGTACTGAACAGGGTCAGCTAAGCCCTTAAGATCAAGTGCTAGGACTACTAAGGTAGAATGAATGTGGGCTCTATGGGCTGTGTAGGGCATTACTTGGCCTTCCAAGCCAAATTAAGCTAACTGATGTTTATGTGTATCAACATATCTACCATATGGGTGTCATGAGAGAGGCATCGTGTCATAGAGCCATACTGGTTGTAGTGGGAATGTCCGTGTGGTCGCCTCGAAGTTCAAGCCTTGGGCCCTTGGAGTTGCGGTCACGACCAATTAAGTCCTCGTGTCTAGGGGTATGGTATACTATAGTCAAAGTTCCAGGGGCATGGGAGTGCGTCCCGTTCATCCGATTCCCTCCAGTGGTAAGTAGTCAGGGCTCTTCCGCTGGTCTTGGGGGTCTGCATCTGGGTGGTGAAGGTGGAAGAGGTTCAGTGGGTACTGTCCCAACCCCGTCGGTTGTGCCCGGTCCCAGTGTGTAGTGGGGTGACGTTCCTGTAAGGTCCTCTCCGCTTGCCTTGATGGTAGGCTGGGTTGTTGATGCGGCTTGTTGGCACCATCGGCTGGGTTGATTGCGTGGGGTTGCGGTCCCACAGGGGGCCTTGCTTCTTTCGGCACCATTTTCGGGCTCTGGTTGCTGGAGGGAGTTTGCGTCCGCATTGGGAACGTGCCGGCAACACCTTGGGATGGGTTCACGTTTCAAGAGTGGGGTTTGCCCCGTCTCTCCCATTGCCTTTGCGTGCCGGGTCCTGCAACTTCCCATCGGCTGAAGGTTCTGTGCCTGGGGACTGCAGTAGGGCCTCCAGCCTCTCCCAGACTGCCCTGAACATGCGCTCGTACCTGAGCTGTAGCTTGGCGTTTTGTTGCCGTTTGAGCAGCTTAATGTCGTTTTTTCAGAAACTGGTCGCAGGAGCTGATAAGGATTGCTGCCGCTCAGCTCTGCTGCCCGGCCCTGCCCCCTGGGATTTCAGCTTTTAATAGGGAATTAACCTTAACAGCCAATTAAGAATTAAGAGAACTATCAGGAACAATTCAAAATGGCTCAAATGTGTAACATTTTAACCATACTTGTCTGTTAGGGAACAGTGAAAGTATGGACTTGCCTTAACAGAAATCAATTTCTATAACTTTCATTTAAAAAGTTAAATAAAAAATTCTTACTGAAAAATAAATATATGTTTATTATTAATATTTAAACTGATTATCACAATGATATGAATGCAAACAAAGATGGCCTCTAATTTGAAGACGTTTAAATATATATTTTGGCATGTGTAGTGAGCCAGACGTAGATAGACAGACAGACAGACAGATAACCTGTGGGTCTTAATATGTTCTGGAAAGACCCCGAAAGTTCCATACCTGCAAATAATGTCTTCTTTGTTTTGTATCAATCATTTGTGCTGGAATTCCAGTGATATTCTAACGCAGTCAATATGAGTATTTTATATAAATTATATCTGAAATATTAAATACTGATAAATTATATTGTGGTGATAAAGACTATTTAATAGACACAATAATAACATGAGTTAATGAATTAATAAGCACTGGTCACTGGGGAGCACAGGTGCTTTTACGATCAATATTTAAGGTGGTCCACCTCTTAAGATTGATTTCTGAAAAAAACAAAACTATTAATTAAATAGTCATTTTGTGGGACAGAGAAACAAACCAAAATACATTTTACATTTATTTTAGAATATTTCGACATTTTAAAATCTTGTCTAATAAAATCTCTTTTCCCTCCAGCAAACCCCCCATTAGTACCTCACTCGGATAACGAAGACCCTTTGCTGAATGATCGCTGTAGAGGTGAGTGATCTGTGAATTGGAGTCATGATCTGCTCAGCATTCTGCCGAGTACCTCAAATTACAGAAAATAGCTTTGTGGTGTATTTATTTAACCCCTTAAGGACCAAACTTCTGGAATAAAAGGCAATCATGATATGTCACACATATCATGTGTCCTTAAGGGGTTAATAGTGTATTGTGGTGAGCTGATACCCGGGCTGGTTCTTTCTTCAACTTTTATTTTTGGCTACTTTGGTCTTAATTTCAAGGTGGAAACTCAATAAACCCCTAAATCTGTGCACAGGGCAGAATTAAAATGTTAATTTGCAAGTTACTATATACACATAATACTGCTGGTATATCAGATAAGAGCTGAGAGTTTGTCACTTTATACAATGCTAATAATAAAATGTTCCCCGCATTGCTGGTGGCATTGTATTTTTAGTGTTGTATCATTTTCAGTTTCGTACAATCCAGTGTTTAATGAATTAATCCCAATATGTTAAATGACCGCAGGGAATGTGTTTGGATCTAAAAGTCTCCAAAGGTAAAGATGTGGAACCGCACTCAGTCCCTTAATTCCGGGTGCAACCGGATCGGTCACAGTACCATGCAACCAGTTAAAAAATGTAACAGAAGAAGAAAGGTCCAGGCACTCCAGAAATCAAACAGGTTGCCAATTTATTGAACCCACAGCCAAAGCAACTTTTTGACCAACAAAGACCTTGACAAAGACCAGGTTGGTTGAAACGTTGCATTGGCTGTGGTTTAATAAATTGCATATTTGTTTGATTTCTGAAGTGCCTGGTCCTTCCTTCTTCTGTTACATGGATCTAAAAGTCTGTGATTTTGTGTAATTACTGTTTGGAAGAATCCCCTCGGGTTCCAGATGCAAGTAGATTAATCAGCTGCCCATTTCCTTTATATGCTCTAATTTATACGGGGGTGATGCTGGTACGGCGTGTTGGGCAGAGTGGATAATCCCATGTGATGTAATGAACTCTTATTTCTGCTTCCAATTAACGCAATTACTTACAAAATTACTGTCTCACCCACATACAGAAACCTTGCACTTCTGTAGACTCCACCTAGTGGTAGCATGACATTTGTACATCCAATAGTCAATATTGGTGTAAAGACAGAGAAGAAATAGCAAATTTAACTATTGAATATTATCAAGATTATTTATTAATGGAAAATTCAAAGTAAATTTAAAATTCAAGGTCAAAGTAACTAGTCTGAAAAAATAATCCAAGCCAGCTCTGCTCCCAGTTCGGCTCTTTGGTCTTAAAGGGACACTATAGTCACCTGAACAACTACAACTTAATGCAGTTGTTATGGTGTCTATATCCGGTCCTTGCAGGCATTTTAATGTATACACTGCCTTGTCAGAGAAAAGGCAGTGTTTACATTGCTGCCTAGGGACACCTTCACTCAGACTACCTCTACAGGTGCTTCCTGGGTCATTGCTGCACAACATGAATAGTTTTCCACTGATTAAATTTGCAAGTGAGTTACTAGGGGGAAATAAAAATATGCATTAGAATTTTGGAGGATTTATTTTTTTTATACCATAGAAAATAATTTTACCTGGCACAGAGTATGCATTCCAAACAAGATTGGATGACACAATGTGTATGGATTTATTTATATTTTATATTGCAATCAGTCCTTTGATGAATTAAACATTTTTCAATGTCAGGTGCCGGACCCTGTACCCAGCAATGTATGGACACGGGGACCAGTGTTGTCTGCTCCTGTTATAACGGCTACCAGCTCCTGCCTGATGGGGTCTCGTGTGAAGGTAACGTCACTGTTCCTATTTCTTGGTGTAAATAAAGATATGTCGTTTGAGGCCAATCTGGAAATATCGGTTGATTCCGAGCCAAAATGTACCTGAGTCATGGACCCAACGAGCCGCACTAGGACGAGCTTGTTCGGTTTGACTCGTGATTGTGTATTCACCAGGTCTCTAAATTCATACGGCCACTAACAGGGTACATTGAGAATTGAACATGCATTTCAAATTCAAGGTAAAAACAGCCGAATTGGAAACATTATTTAAGTCATCTAAGCTTCCTGTTCCTCTACTTCGGTCTGAAATTCACTTTGAATTCTCACTTTATTGAATAACCTGTTCACGTTGATTTTATTCACAGATCACGTGAGAGGTGAGCGACAGAGGGAAATAAGAGGAACAGCAAAAAAAATTAATCTTTATTTACATAATATATACTTAATAAATATGTAAAAAATAAATATCGATTTTTTTTTTAATTCTCTTCTGTTTTCCTGGTATTGGTAACTTTTCCCTCACTTGATTTGTGAACCAAAGGGTGGGAAAACCTCAGTGTCCTGTAAAATATGTATATTATATTATATAGATTATATTATGATATTATTATTTTTTTCGTTCTGCTGAGCTGAACTTCCATTTGCCTGAAATTGTGAAGTCCCGAAATGTTTTTTTCTTTGTTTGGAAAAAATGTCCGAGTCCAATTTTCTGTAGTATATATAGATCTATACTGTGTATATAAGGCCTGAAGGCTTCAAACTGGACTCAGTTCATCTAAAGTTGCATGTGTAGAGAAGCTCACATGGCTGTAAAAGGATCAGAAATGTCTTTAATTTACTGTTATAGGACCCAAGGTTCAGCCTTCAGTTACATTGTATCTGTACCTTAATTAGAACTTTACCTGATTCCAAGCAGCCAGTCAGAACACAGCTTTAATAAGAAGTTTTACTTCCTCTTGTCTCAGACAATTTCAATCACTTTTAACTTTATTTCATTTTTAATATTACTTATTACACACAAAAGGAATTTGTATCAAGGCATAATGGACCTTTCAACCAATTTTTATTACCAACGCATTCTCCTAAAAGCAGTGAAATAGAAATAATATTGTTATGTAAATATTTATGTTGATAATGACTCAGTCTGTAAAATGCGTCTCCCCCTCTCTGAGTGTATTTGTTTGTCCATTAATTAGATGTCAACGAGTGTATATCTGGGACACACAACTGTAAAGTGGGACAGATCTGCATTAACCTGGTGGGATCTTTCCGGTGTCAGCGAGAAATTAATTGCGGCACTGGATACGAACTGACAGAGGACAACAGCTGCAAAGGTACCTTACACAATGTGTCAAACGGCCTGTGAGCAGCGCTATGGGTTGCAATACTGTATCTGACGTCTGATTGTCGTCCCTGGGGACTGCATAATTGGTAACATTTGGGAGAATCTAGCCAGGAAAGAACGTCACTTAAACCAGTGTTAGAGCCGCACCATGGTGCAAGCCTCATTTAATATTGTCTGATCGGCTTCTCGAAGGATCTAATGCTTATGGATAAACGTTTAAAGATATGACACTCATGGCACTCTGTGAGTGAGGTGGATGTTTTAAAAATACATTTATCTGTTATCCCTAGAAGTTTAATACAGAGAATAGTCTCAGGACACTGACTTTAACTCAGTAGCGTTCCATGACTCCAAACATTTCACATGGACAAAGAGGGTCACTTTAATCTTTACAGGTGTCATGGGGGGGTGTTGCCAGAGACTGGGCAGTTCTGTGAAATTTTAGGTGACTTAATAATAACAATTTATACAACTAAAATGTAATTTATAACAAGGACACTGTATCTCATTTACACAGACTGTTTTCTAAACACATTTATAGTAGTTTAAAGACACATTACTGGGAGTATTATTGCTGTGGAGCTGTGTGATACACTGACACATTACTGGGAGCATTATTACTGTGGAGCTCTGTTATACACTCAGACACATTACTGGGAGTTTTATTGCTGTGGAGCTCAGTTATACACTCATACACATTACTGGGAGTATTATTACTGTGGAGCTCTGTTATACACTCAGACACATTACTGGGAGTATTATTGCTGTGGAGCTCTGTTATACACTCAGACACATTACTGGGAGTATTATTGCTGTGGAGCTCTGTTATACACTCAGACACATTACTGGGAGTATTATTGCTGTGGAGCTCTGTTATACACTCAGACACATTACTGGGAGTATTATTGCTGTGGAGCTCTGTTATACACTCAGACACATTACTAGGAGTATTATTGCTGTGGAGCTCTGTTATACACTCAGACACATTACTGGGAGTATTATTGCTGTGGAGCTCTGTTATACACTCAGACACATTACTGGGAGTATTATTACTGTGGAGCTCTGTTAAACACTCAGACACATTACTGGGAGTATTATTGCTCTGGAGCTCTGTTATACACTCAGACACATTACTTGGAGTATTATTGCTGTGGAGCTCTGTTATACACTCAGACACATTACTGGGAGTATTATTGCTGTGGGGCTCTGTTATACACTCAGACACATTACTGGGAGTATTATTGCTGTGGAGCTCTGTTATAAACTCACCAAGCGTGCTAATGTGCTCCTACTAATCCCGGGCTTTAGTGAGCTAAACCCTAACCCTTGTCCTAATGTCAGGGTCAGTGAGTAACTAAATGCCAACTCTGCACCTAATGTCAGGGTCAGTGAGTAAACTGTATCGAGCTGAGACTTGATAAATCAATGTAACTTATCCATATCCTGCATCTTCCAGATATCGACGAGTGCACTTCGGCCACCCACAACTGCCCCCCTAACTTCAGCTGTCAAAACACCCCCGGATCGTTCAGATGTCGCCCTAAGGTGCAGTGCCCAGCAGGATACATTCAGGATGCAGCGGGCAATTGTATCGGTAAGACAGGAGACAACTTAGTGAGCGCAGAGAGATTTATCAGGGGATCAGTCAATTTAAACTGGGATGATAAAATGACTGATCCAGTAAAATCTCTGAACCTAGTGCGCTCTGGGTGTGCTACAGCTAATGCAAAATTCCATTTAATAAAACTACCCGTGACACATTCAGATATTGTCTCCGAAGGAGCGAAAGGTCATGCGTGATTTGCAGTAAAAACTCTGAACATATTTGCAACCTGCAGTTCCATGTTGCTCAGTCAGCAGCTGACCTTCAAAAGAAAACTGTGAGTCCCCTAACCCACTACAGCTCATTGCGTTATTACAGCTTGATTACAGTCAGTACTTATGGTGCTTAGAGTCTTTGGGGATTGTCAAACCATTTTTAAGTAGTTTGACAAAAAACTTGTCTCACTCAGCACCCAAAATCCCAACCTCGGCTATTAGTGAGATATTAAGAACTTCACTTATCCACTCAAAATGTTAGTGCAGTGATTGGTTACAAACACTACAAAAAATGTAGTGGTTATGGTGTTTAGAAATGTTTAAAAACCTGCTTTATTGAGTAAAGTGAAGAAGGAGGCAACCGATCCTGTACAGTAATGCTTTATCTCCATATTTTATTATTCCAGTTTAGCTCTGCATTGGATTGATTGAGATTGGTCTGAAATATCTCTGTTTCTTTATATTTTAGATATAAATGAGTGTCTGAGTCTCAATGCTCCCTGTCTCCCGGGACAAACCTGCATCAACACCGAAGGCTCGTACACCTGCCAGCGGCATGTGGCCAACTGCGGGCGCGGATATCACCTGGATGCGTCTGGCTCAAAGTGTGAAGGTAGGTGTGCATCAAGGCTGCCACTAGATGGCAGGATGGGTCTGCCAAAAAGGGGGCATTTTATATCCTTCCCTGCTCGGCTTCTTGAAGGTTCCATGATCTTCTAAAATAGTTTGGTGGGAATTCTAGTTTCCCTTTAACAGTTTAGGATGTCAACCACTGTGTTACAATATCATACGTTGGTCAGTAACATGTGATGTCTCCTTCCATCAGCTCCCTAAGCACCATAACCACTTTTCTAACAGTTTTGGAGCAGGACAAAAAAATAGGACTCTCCCCATCACCCATAGCCATGCTCCTCCAAAGCTGTTTGGAGAAACCAGAAATTACACGTCAACACATTATTCACCGTAAATCCGTCCAACCTTGAGCGTCGATGATCAGCTGAAAGTTTTGGGAAATGTCAGAGAAATTCTGATTCAGATTGTGTATCAACGGTATAAACAAAGACAGATAAATGGTTAAGAAAGGGAATGCAGGGAAGCAGCGCCTTCACAAGCGTCCTCAACTCAAATAAAGATGGAACGATATGCAAAACCAGGAGAAATAAAACGGAATATGGTGCAGTATTTCTGATGCTGTGATTATAAAAAAGGAAATGCACTTATAATCTTCTGGAGCTTGAAATCTGCTCCAGATATATGGGCTTGGACGGTACAATCCCTGTCTGTAGATATGCTGGTCTTGGTCTCTGTCTAATTCTTATGTGGAAAGGTATCCTTAGGCCGGTCAGCAGCGAGTGGTGGTCAGCTTCGTAGAAGTGGTCTCTTTCAATATGCCGTTTTGTCACAGTGAATGTTCACCAGCTTGTAAAATGAAAATAAAAAGATAGTGCTCTCTGTATAGCTAAAAAATGCTAAAATAATAAAAGGAGGTATACTCACAAACGGAGAGCACAGTAAAGTTATGATCAATCCTATATAGCTTAGGTGGTATATTCCCCACCTAGGAACCGAAGTATGAATTCTCCAGGTAAAAATCTTCAGAGATCACTATGACTAAGTTCCAGAGGGTCTGGGATCTGTGGGAGCAATACGACACTTAGAATCATGACTCGGGGCGTGGGGCGGCATCCACGCGTTCCGCAAAAGTGGCAATAATTGGGATACACCCAACGCTAAATATCACTCCAGCACCTGGACTAGTGGTAGCGGCACCACTACAGGACAGGGGCACGGTCAAACCTAACACACGGAGTGCTACCCGGGGAACCTGATGACCTCTGTCACTGGTCCCTCGGGAAACCATCTCAAGACGACACCTATATGCATCTACTTGTCTCTACTTTCCTATCTTTCTCTTCTACCTATCTATTGAATGCAAGCACTCTAGACTCACAAGCCGGCGAAAGAGGAGTCAGGCTAAAATACGCCTACGCTCCGCAGACAACGGGGAAGACGGGGAACAGTCATATGCCCCAAGGGGTTTGGGACTGCGACTCAACTCCCTAAGCCTACTGCTCAACACTACTACCATTGTATATAGTTACCTGTGCTTGCCAACATAACAGAAAATATCGGACGAAGACACCCACAGGGAGTACAATGCCTGTAACGTGTTTAACCTAACCACTGCAACTTTCATTCTGTAAAAAACTGTATGACACTGCGCTGTCACTTGCATACATATGCCTGCATATCTCTATGTCGACCTCTTCGTCAGTCCAAAAATAAAGAATTAAAAAAAAAAAAATCTTCAGAGATAAAAACAGGAAGGTTCAAATTCAATTAAAAAAAAAAAGTTTTATTTGTAACCAAAATAATAAAACCAAAAGTATAGTATAAAACACCAATAAAATACTAACACGTTTCACCTTTACACAGGCATTTCCAAAGTCACACTGTGTGACGGTGAAATGCGTTAGTGTCTCAGCTTAATATTAAGTCTCCCAGCTGAATGTTCCACTTTCATAACTTTGGCCCTGATTTATCTGTTACAGGCAATAGGTAGATTATCAAGGCAATACAGGTGCTATTGCAAATTAACTTTTTGAACCCAGAATAGCACCCATTCACCTTGATAAATCGCTCTCCAAATGTTCCAAGTGTTTTGTAACTGACCGCAGTGTATTTTATTAGTTACCAACATTAAATAATATGTAAATGTCTATAACAAATGTGTAAAAAATTAAATTAGGTAAATTACACAGAAATGAAACAAGATTTCTGTGAGTTGTGCGAATGCTATTTCTCTCTGTTGGGATTAGAGGAACTCTCCGCACACCATAACAACGTAATTGGAAGGAAGTTGTTATGGTTCTAGGTGGTTGCTTGTGCATGCATGCCTTCTGGGGTTAGACTTTTAATGAACATTTTAGAGCCAAAGCTATACCCTTAATAGAAATATATGTACGTTTTTCACTCCAGCCTATCAGCGCTGCCCCTGTACGAGGCTTCCTAATTGACTCAAATGGAAGTTCTGGGGCAGAGCTGACCTGTGCCCGGACAAAAGACTTTAGGAATTAACTGCTCATTAACAGTTTAAACCTTAAAGGTAAGACAGTGCCAGGGCATCCTGGCACCATAACAACTTAATTTCAGGTGTCTGTTCTACAAACTGTACTGAGCTTACACTCCTTTAATAAGACATTTTCACATTCACTCCAGATTAACATCTTTCTGTGTTTTCCTGTGCAGACATTAACGAGTGCGCAACCCTCCAGAACCCCTGCGGTGATGGACATAAATGCCTAAATGTGCCAGGATCTTTCCGTTGTGAATGCCAGGCCGGCTTCCTTTTTGACCCCATGTCCAGAACGTGTGCCGGTAAGTAACGTCACAGTGTATTTCTGACCGATACGCTTGTGAGGTCATGACCGTGCTCGCTCAGAAACACAATCAGGGTTATTCACAAAACTAAATTATTCATTGTTCATTGTCGTTTCCTGCTGCAGATATCAATGAATGTAGGGGCTATCTGGGGAGGGTCTGCGCCCACAAGTGTGAAAACACGCCAGGCTCCTTCACATGCAGCTGCACCACTGGATTCAGACTGGCATTGGATGGCAGATCTTGTGAAGGTAAAGTGAAATTATTAATAGCTGCCCCCAGGGGGTGCTGGTGAAGTTAACCTTGCTGGAACTAGAAGCAGCTACCAGATCAGGATCCAAACTGTCTCTGTGCCTAAAGCAAACACGTGGGCACTCTGGCAACCAAGCAAAATGTGTTAACATTTTTATTGGTTGGGGGTTCTACAGGCTGGAGTGGATGACCATTGTAATTTGACGTCACCACTTAATTGCTCCAGTTACAAAATATCATGTTTAGCATTTGTGTCTCCATGCCAAAATTTTGAGGCTTTTCAGATGACGTGTGGTGTTAGCAATGGCTGCGTAACTTCATGGAAATGGTGTTACAAATCTAGAAACCTTGGCCTCTATTTAATATTTTTAAATATTAAAATAACTTTTAAAATGATATAATATTGTGAAAAATATTAACTTTTTTTAATATATTATTTTTAGATATGATATATATTTTTGATAATTTAATATTTTGAAAACAATAATTTGAAAAGTGTATCCAAAAACAACTACTACTACTACTAGAATCGTGAATGAGATCAGTTATCTCTAAAATATTCAATGATCTAAACTTCCGAGATGTAATTATCTGATGACTTGGGACATCTGGGGATGTCCAGCCACTCCAAGAGCATAAAAGATGAAGGAGTTCTCTAAAAAAAATTGAAAAATATATATATGCTCTGTTTATTAAATCTATCGGGGGAGTTTAACAAATATGCAAACTGCAGAAATTATACTAAGGATTTCAAATCTCCTAATATTGTCTGTGGCAGCAGTTAATGTATGAGATAATTATTACACGTTGTGTCTAAGTTTAATTAAATAAAATGTGACTGAGATGGACTGTCTCTGTCACAATGCCGTGTTAGGTTACAATATATCCGTATCGCTGACGTCTCTCGTGTTTTAGATGTGGATGAATGCACCAGCAATCCATGCAGCCAGGAGTGCGCCAATGTGTACGGATCCTACCAGTGCTATTGCCGTCGCGGGTACCAGCTCAGTGATGTGGATGGAGTCACGTGTCAAGGTAAAATTGTTTCATAAATAAGACAGAAACACATTTTACTGATCAGCTTTAATGTGAGAACTAAGAGCAGGAAGTCTTGTAGTTCTGGCTCCGTGAGAAAGCAGATCGTTAACACCTTGACCAAAAACAAACCACTTATCATTTGGATTTTAATCATGGATCTGAGAATTATGGGGAAAAGACAAGGAAATTGCTCTTTGGCCAATTTTGGCCTACATTTTGCAATGATTTTATCAATTCCACATTCAGTTGCTAAAATCCTTTTACAGTAGAATAAATCCTGTGTTCAGGTATTCTGTGTTATATTTCCACGGAATGGCAGTAACAGATTGTCCAATTGTTGCCCTTTTTGGAATTAAATAATAATTACTTGACTTTGTCTGCCAGCTGAAAGTTCTACACATTCCCTCCTTTGGCATGCATAGTGTTTTACAAATAGAGTGCAAGTTCTTGTGATACATTAGTGAATATATTGGTGTCATAATATATTATCATTAAATCTATAATGGTTGTTTCTCTTTGCTCTCTGGCTGTTTACAGATATTGACGAGTGCGCCTTGCCGACGGGTGGGCACATCTGCTCGTATCGCTGTAACAATGTCCCCGGCAGCTTCCAGTGTACATGCCCTCTGACTGGCTACACGCTGGCAGCCAATGGCCGCAACTGCCAAGGTACGGAAAGGTTTTTCCTTATAATACCAGGATTTCAACATTTCCTTTGTTTTGCGGAATCAATGAGCAAATCTTGGGGTATTTACCCCAAGAAAAATGTTTAACTTAGAAAGTTTAGTTTTTGAGAAGTAATTAAGTTCAGATATTCAATGAAAATATGGGGCATTGAGAATAGGTAACAGTGACATCTAGTGGACATTTATTGGAACAACAAGATAAGATCGCTCGTTGAACAGTTTGAAATAACATTAACATTTTTTTATTTTTATTTGTAATTTACAAACATTGTACAGTGATACAGGCAGTGATCTATTTATGTTTTACGCTGCCCTAGTCCATGTGTTCACACTTCAGATATAATTTCTATCAAACTAGCAGACACAAACGGACAAGCAACACCAATCAGGCTTATTCACCAAAGAGAGAATTCAACGTGAATTTCAATTTTAAGGCCAAAATAGCCAATTAATTCACCACAATTCACTGAATGGTCAGTAGACCCCATTGTCTTTCTGTATTGTGTCCTGTGTTATTAATGTCAGAAATACAATGTCTCTCACAGATGTTGATGAATGCGTTACCGGAACGCACAACTGCTCGGGTACAGAGACCTGCGTCAATGTTCAGGGAGGATTCCGTTGCTTGTCTTTCGAATGCCCAAGGAATTATCGCAGATCTAGTGACAGGTAAGAGAAATTCGATTGGTCTCATTTGATGTTTGGGGTGCGACGAATGAGCCTCCCTATCATAACTTATCTGTCATTTAAAGGAACACTATAGTGCTATGGAATACAAAGCTGTAGTGTCACTCTGCCCCCCCCCGCCCAAACTCTCTCCCCACTGCAATTAAACTGTTAAAAACCATTTTAATACATACCTGAATTCCAGCGATATCTGAAGGCATTGGACGTCCTCATGCACAGTTTCTCTAAGACTGCAATATTTTCACTTGCAGGGCTAAAGGGACAGGAACACTGCACCCACTTCATCTCATTTAAGTGAAGTGGTCTGGGTGTCTATAGTGTCCATTTATGAACATGTGTATTAAGAGGCTTAATCAGTGTGAGGTGGTGATTAGTACGCTGTGTGTGGTGTCTGAGTGTTGTGGGAGCGAGGCCTCGGCTCTGGGCTTCAGTTTGGCATGCGAGGGCAGCTGTGTGGTATATGGAGCTTAGTGAATCTTTAGGAAGGTCTGGGGCAGACCCTAAGAGTCGGTGAACTAATTTCTATATTGTGCTATTAGGCAGAAGATCAGATATTCGCATGGTAGGCTGTTCTGCGTGTGTGAACCTAGTAGCATGTCGTCCTGCATGTGTGTAGGTGACGCCTGTGGTGTACACATTAATCTTTTCTTGTGGTGCAGTGATCCGTCTCTCTACATGTGCATTTAAATGTTATTTAGCATAGAGATGTGAGACAGAGAGCATACAATAAAATATACAGTATGTAGTAGGAGAGGTGTATACTCATTTCTGCTGGCGAGAATGAACTGTTGCAACACACATAACATTGAAGGAGAGAAGAGTCAGGATTGCGTCCATTTTGTGTATAAATTGCGTGCCATTTTCCCTGTTTTCAATGGGTGAGGTGGATGGCTTGTAAGTCCTTGGGGCTACGGCATTGTTAACCTATGCCCGCCCGTTAGTATACTGAGTCCCGTGGCCAGGATGAGCGCTGCGTCCTGCTCCTGGGCACTGAGGGTTGCAGGGTAAGGGCTTTCGCCGGAGGGGTTTCCTTTTGTACCTTGGTTGTATGGCGTAGTCCGGCGTGGTCCTGCCGCGTGTGAGGGATACCCTTCTGTGCTCCATGTTGTCAAGTAGCAGGCATGATGTGTCGCTTTCTCCTGCGCCGTCCGCTAGGGCCTTTTGGCCTGGGGGCCGCCTCCACACGTCGAGAGCCCGGTGATGGCCCTTTTGGTGAGTTCCCTTTTGCTGTATGAGGCTCGGTTTGCTTCAGCCTGCATTCGAGTTTCAGCCAGAAAGCTGCAAATGTGCGCTCCAGCCGTGTAAGGATGTCAGGTACTCCAGCATTCTCGCTAGGTGTGCACATGGCGCCCACCATTTTGTGCCTCTCTGTTACTGCTGGTCGTCCATGTGTGTATTTCGATCGCCTCCTGGACCGGGATAACCCCCCCAGTCCGGGGGGTGGGGTGTCATGTCTCCCGAGCGGCCATTTCCCCCCAGCTCCTATGCCCGCAAGCCGCGGTCAGACATTTTCAGGCTTCCTTGTTCATCAGAAGTGTCGTTAGGGCACGCTGAGCTTAGGTAGAGTGACCTTGTTTAAGTGAGAGGCTTTATTCACGATTAATTTGTGATTTTCAAAGTTTGACTGTGGGACCCCATCGAACATGCGTGTAGTCGGGAAGCTTGTCAGGCTCCGCCCCCTATAGTGTCTATTTAAAGCACACTTAGAAGGAAGTCACATATATGGCCAGAAACGGCAGTGTTTAGATTCAGTTTATTATATCGCTTTCTGAATGATTGTTGAAATGACTCCATGAAGATTATTTCACTATCTCCTTCCACTCTTCCACTCAGCCACGATTGTGAACATGGAACCACAACGGAAGGCTGAGAGTTCCCTCTCCCAGCGCTGTCAGCCTGTCATTGTCATCTAAGTTTGGACATATTCTCACTTGACAAAGGGGAAATTCATATAGCTGCAGAGGGGATAGGATATGGGTGCTGGTGGGAGCCCGGAATTTAGACAGAAAACATGGGGATGGCGTCCATCGACTCCTAGCACTATAACCACTGCTATAAGCTGAAAATATAATGAGCTGTAATGATTTAATAATGGACTGTAACAATACAATAAGCTGTAATAATGCAATAAGCTGTAACAATACAATAAGCTGTAATAATACAATAAGCTGTAATAATATAATTAGATCCATTAATACATTGAGCTGTCCAATACAATAAGCTATATTAATAAATTGAGCTGTAATTATACAATAAGCTATAATAATACAATGAGCTGTAATAATACAATAAGCTGTATTAATATATTGAGCTGTAACAATACAATAAGCTGTAATAATACAATAAGCTGTAACAATACAATAAGCTGTGCTAATACAATGAGCTTTAACAATACAATAAACTGTAACAACACAATAAGCTGTATTAATACATTGAACTGTAATAATACAATACGCTGTAACAATACAATAAGCTGTAATAATACTATAAGCTGTAATAATACAATAAACCGTAATAATACAATGAGCTGTAATAATACAATAGGCTGTAACAATACAATGCTGTAATAATACAATAAGCTGTAATAATACAATGAGCTGTTATAATATAATGAGCTGTATTAATACAATAATCTGTAATAATACAATGAGCTGTAATAATACAATGAGCTGTAGTAATACATTGAGCTGTAACAATACAATAAGCTGTAATAATACAATGAGCTGTAATAATACAATAAGCTGTAACAATACAATGCTGTATTAATACAACAAGCTGTAATAATACAATGAGCTGTATTAATATACTGAGCTGTAATAATATAATGAGCTGTATTAATACAATAATCTGTAATAATACAATGAGCTGTAATAATACAATGAGCTGTATTAATACATTGAGCTGTACTAATACAATGAGCTGTATTAATACGTTGAGCTGTAGCAATACAATAAGCTGTAATAATACAATAAGCTGTAATAATACAATGAGCTGTAATAATACAATAAGACATGGAAGGTTATGGTGGGTTGAGAATCCCTTTAAGTGGATGAGAAATAATTTGTTTCTGCCTTTTTATAGGAATCTAGTCACTTACTCTGTATGTTATTTATTGTCTTATATTTATTGCGTATTATGGAATTCCACGTATCTCTGAGATATATTCACAGGGCTTTTTACTAAAATGAATTCAAAGTGTAGCCAGAGTTAGCGAAGCTGAAAGCTATTTTGTCCAGGAAATTAAAATCCACTTTGAATTCGTACCTTAGTAAATAACCCTATTTGGCTATTAGTCTCTTAGAAAGTTCCAGGAATCGCTACCAGCCATTGATTCATTATTCCAGCCGCAACAAGACAAATCCCGTGCCCTGTTTTGGCATTTTTTCTCATCAGACTTAAAACAGGCTTCATCTTTGGGACCTGATTTAACGTGCCGGGAGCTAGTTAATTTTAGACGTTATTTCCTGACAATATCGCTGTCGCCTTGAGGGACTCAAGATGAACTTAAATAAGAGAACTCCATGTGTGATTGTACCCTTTATACAGCGTCTGATATAATGTCCTGAGGTTGTCTTGACACTCAGTGCATATTACTGTTATTTATATCAAGATATTTCATGTCCATCAAGTTGTTCATTAGCCGGTACCCTCCGATAAGGGCAGATTTATATTAAACCAATTACGTTCACAAAAAACTACAGAAACTTTTTACAGAATAATGTGTAAATAGACAATGAATTCACATGCTTTCCACACAGACACTGCCACTACTGTCCTACATGGGTATTACAGGATCTCTGAGAAAAGAAATTATACTCTATAGCATTGTGCTTTATTTAAAGCTTTGACTTAATCCAGGCTGCTATACAACAGAATAACTAAAAATGGATTTCTGGGGACACTTAATATTATTCAGCATTACTTTATTAAGCTAATTTACCCCGGCCCTCTTCACCTCCTGGTTCTGTCGTATTTACTTTGTTTTAGACGTACACATTCTTTGAATTATTCATTAAACTCGTCTGACAACAAGTTGATTCACCCAGCATAAAACCCTGTTTGATTACTTTTAAACCAATCGATTAGTTTAAAACAAATCCAAAGGGGTTGAGCCATATTAAATTATTTGTTAATTAATGCACGTCTACTTTGTTTGCCAGTTACCTCCTGCTTTATTTCCCCTCTTTAATGCGGTAAAGAGCTACGGAATGTGCTAAATAATCGCAATAATAATTGTAAACTGTGCATTAAATAATTGACTTGTGCAAAATAAAATCATTATTCTTACTTGTCCAAATACAATGGCTGTTAATTGTTGCCAAAATCAACCAATTCCAAATCCCCAAATCTATATTATCTGTACGGGGAAAACTACAGGTAAACCCACAGATAAACCAATTAGGAATTCATTCATTTAACAATTTCAAGGATTTTGTTTCGGATAAACAAATTAAAACAAATTTATTGCCCATGTCTAATAAATAACATGATATAGGAAAAGTGACGTTATTCTTAATTAAATATTTTGTAAGCGTTTCTACCCAGAGAAATCATAAATTCTCCCCAGATGTGGATTTATTCTGTGACTGTCTCTACAGAGATGGCGTGCTGCCCCTTACACCATGTCCATATTACAGTCAATGTGGCGTTAGTGATATAGAATCCTTGGGTCACGTCCTTTCTTGGGGTTCATGTCACCCCATCCAAGATTTGGTATCTATTTGCCATTCTGTGTATCTACTACTGGGTTCTATGTTCGGGACATAGTGCTTTGAATTCTGAACTGTGTCAAAGAGGAAATAAGAAACACATGCTCTAAATATAATTTATAAAATATAACACTGACCTGTCATCCGGATTCCAGGTATTGTCAGCAATGTACAACTATACATACTGATATACAGCTATACATGTCATGTTTCCAAGATGGCAGGTATAATGGGTGGGAAGACTGCACAGGGGTTTTCAACCCTAAAATTTTACCATTGCCTAGACTACTAGCCAGACCAAGAATTTACTAGCCACTGTAAGCCTGGAGGGCCCATGGCACACTCACCGGGATGAATTTATGCTTACTGAGTTTCCAGTTCTGCTACCTTGCTTCATTTTTTGACTCCCGTTTTGACATGTTTGGAAGTCACTCAACTTGTCGCCATTCAATGCCCAGACAGCGTCATTTAGCGGTCACCTATGGAACAAAGCGTGTTGATGGCGGGCAGTTCTCATTGGCTGCGAGTGTCAGATAAGCGCAGTCCTGCATTGCCCTTACATTGCTCTAAAGAGACATCTGACACCTCCGGCTGCAGGAAACTGGGAATGCGACTGTAGTTGTCAAGTCGTACTAAAATGTTTTGAAATCATACTGTGGGATGGGGCCAGAACACTCCAAACACCATAACTACTGCAGCAGGCTCCAGTGGTTATAGTGCTTGGGATATTCATTACTGTGTAGCTGGTAAAATCCATTCAAAATGATAAATCTATTGTTAGATGAATTCTAGTTGGTAGTTATGATTTACAAAGAAAGATCACTCACAAATTGAGATACTTTGTTGCTCGATGATTGTATCTGAGTGCAGTTAGTGGTTACAATGATAAATTTGTACATTATTTCCATTTGATTGATTACCTTGGCTCCGGGAGACAATTATTGGTAAATTCAACTCTAGCGCCAGTTAAGCAGCTTCTGTCGTCAAGGTCACTTGTGATTGACAGTAGATTTGCCAATTTGTAGCCATTATTTTCTTTGGCTTCCCTTGTAGAACTTCAACGTACATCCATGTTTATCACTGTAAAGTAATTTCTCTGTACGTATCGCAGACAGATTGTACACAAAACAACTGATTGTTGCTGGCGATTGCCCCATCCTTTCCCTAGATTCTCTCCTCCAGGTTTCTGTTGATATATAGAGCCCAAATGTGTTTTAGACTTCGTTGCATGATGGAGTTGGGCACCGTCTACTGGAAGACTCACCTGCTCGCTAGCTTGCTTGCTTTGTGTTCATTAATCCTTTTCTTGTCTTCTCTTCTCACTTTTCTTGCAGTCGCTGTGAGCGCTTGCCTTGTAGTGACACTGAGTGCCAGAGCCTGCCCCTGAGAATAAGCTTTCACCACCTAGTGCTCCCCACCAACATCCAACCTCCCTCCAGCGTATTCCGCATGGGTCCCACCCACAGCATCCCCGGGGATGACATTCAACTGTCCATCACCAGTGGGAATGAGGAGGGCCATTTCATCACCACTAAACCGAACTCTCACAGTGGCCTTGTGAATGTGCTGAAAACTATCACAGAACCCAAGGACATTCTTCTAACTATCCAGATGAATCTCATTCGCCATGGGACTGTCAGCACATTTGTAGCTAAACTACATGTCATTGTCACAAAAGAGCTTTGATCCAATATTTGCTATGGGGGCTTATCTTCATTGCTGTGTTTTCCACCATTTTTGTTTTAGGTTCAATAAAGCTTTCCTTGTTACATGGGGTCCAGCCATAACTTGGGTAGAGGGGTATGCCAACTTGGTCAGAAGAAAGGTTGCATGTCTCTCTTGGACTTCCTCCAATCTTAATATCTGTTATGTTTTCTTGATACTTGGGGTCTTTGGATGTATAATTGAGCACATGCTTAATTTAGCACCAACTGGCCACATGTCACAAGACTTAGTTGGTTTCAGACTCTTTAAAGCTATCACAACCTTCTCACTGTCTGTTTGGGTGGCCTGGAAGGACATCAAAAGCCCATCAAGAAAGCTTAGATTGGATTAGGTTATGGTGGAAATTCTACATGGAGACTTGGCTACATCTGAACATAAACCTATTGGTGTCATTGAGAGACAGACAGGGATAAAAATCTGTTATTTCTAAATTCTTTAAACACAAACAGAAAATGGGTCAACTGCCACCCATACTTTCAGCAGTTCTTCCAGCCCTGATTCCTAATCAAGAAATAAATAAGAATGTTTGGTATAATATACATATGTTACAGGTCTCCATGCTGCAAGGAATATTTGCGGGTCCCTTTTTTCTCCTTTGAACTGGAATTTATAAGTTCTGCGTTGTGGTCTTAAAACAGACCCAAACTAACAGTGAATAAACATTTATAAACAGATCTGTTTTCATTGTAGTTCGTACATCGTAGAAATACACATTGCTGTGATATTTTTGTTTTCCTGCCTTTGTCCAGTATTTTCCTTGTTTCTTTAAAATGTTCTAGGTGGCCAGAATGACTTGCGGTTTCTTTACAGACAACACACTTTCTTCCATATATTGGTTTTATTAGATTTCTAGCAAATGTACAAATGAAAAATTATTTCCCTTGACATATTTTTGACCTTCCTAGGAATGACTACTATGCCACTTGGCATAGAAGTAAAGGGAACAAACATTGGGCACATCAGTTACGTCTGGAAGTATTGCAGTATCATCTCACTACTTCTAGTAACCACCTGCTTCCCACGAAATAGTGTGGACTTTTTGGTTAACAAAATGGTGACATTGTACATTTCATTGTGTCAGTGACTCTCTGACGGACTGCTGACTTCATAGTCTGGACTGGTTGGGCGACACTGGAGATAGGTTTCCAGATCATCATGTTTAGGCCAGATGCCTACATGGGATTTTAAAGATTGTTTATGACCAAGCAGGCTCTGCCTTACCTTTCTTCCACTTGTGCTATGACCACTGGCACTAGTTCTGCATTCATAATGTTACTGGCCGCCCTATATTATTATTAACCCATTCCCTCATGTTACTAGCTCTCCGCCTGCTCATAATACAAACCCTATCTTATGTAATGTCATTAGCGTATTTGTTGTTCATATCATCTACCTTGATATTCCCAATATCACTAGCCTTCACACAAATATCACTAGTCATATTCCAAATATAGCCCTTTCCTCCCAAATATCACTTGCCCTCTCTCTCGGTGCCACTAGTTCTTTTCCAAGAATATCACTAACTCTTTTCTCTCAAATATCACGTGCCCTCTTTCTTACCCTCACTAGCCCCCTTCCCAAAATATTACTAGCCCTCTCCTTCTAAATATCACTAGCCCTCTTCCAAATGTTACTAGCCCTCTTATCAAAATATGCTAGCCCTCTTTCTGAAAGTCACTAGCCCTCTTCCAAATATCACTAGCCCTCTCCCTTCTCTCATTATCACTAGCCATCTCCCTCTTAGTGTCACTAGCCCTCTTCCCCTGGTGTGGAGGAGCTATAGCACTACATCAAGTTCATAGAAAATGTTCTTTAAAGAAAATTAGGGCAATGTTCATACCCAGCACACCTACCTATCTTTTTTTCGTGTAGAGTGTATTGTCAGGAATTCAAAGTGAATTTACATTTTATGCCAAAATCGTTAAAAGGAAGTGTCAGTTATGTTTTAATTTTGGCAGTTTTGCCTGTGTCTGTCTGTGTGTAAGTTTTCTGTATAACCCAGCTGTACATGCGCAATCGCCATAAATACTGGTTCTGGGATAATACTGATTACAAATCATTACACGTGTTGCCAAGATTAAATCTGAATTTCACTTTGAATTCCCAGCATTGTAAAAGTGTATTCATAATATTAAATCATTTGAAGAGTTTATCCAAAAATATTAAATCGAGGCCTCGGATAGAATCTCAGCCTGGCTATGTTAGCCTGTACCGTGTTATTTGAATGAAGTTTACTCAAATTCAATGTTTAGTGAGTAACCCTTTCAAAGGGGAATGTGACTAAGAGTTGGGAGTTGCATGCCTGCGGATGCCTTTTTGGTGCCAACCTGAGGCCATGGTTTCGTGACTGACGTACTATTCCATTAAGAAATTCTGTCAAATGACACCAAATCTGTGCATTCAATCTGCTCTGCGCAGGAATATGGCACTAACAGAAAGAAAGACCGTCTATTGACCTAAACGTAAATCTTTCTAAAGGAGTCTCAGTAGGTGTAAGCAATAAAAATTATACAATCATAGAATGAGCGCAAACGCGTATAAGAGGCGGGGTGATACCATAGAAACAATTTATGGGAGTAATCAGTTACATAGTATACAGATATATTGTCATTCTGCATCACAAATCACAAGTGCATAAAATATATCATTAATCCAGAATGTAAAAATAAATTGCATATAGACAAATGTAAACACTATGTGTAAAATGGGTCGATTACAGTTAGTATGTCAAAAAATGTGAAAAAAAAGTAACGTGTGAAAAATGTATCAAACTGAATACACAAGAAATTCTTAAACCCTGAACCTATATATTGAATTAAATTGTGTAGAATACTGAGCTCTTAAGGGATTGTTAGTCCTTCATCCTGCTCAGCTTGCAGGAAGGATCAGAGTGATGTGAGTCTCTGTCAGCACAGATCTCTCCGCCAAAGCTTTATGGCACTGAAAGATGACATCGCGTCTCACTGCAGCCAGTAAGTGAGAGCAGTACAAGCGCAGGGCGAGTTCTGTCTGTAGCACAATAACAGTGATTAATTATTTTTTTTATTTGTTTTGCAAAGTGCGTTTAAAAAAGCTCAGCTACAAAAAAATATATATTTTGGCGAAGACTTTGGAATCATTTTTTTGCATTCATCACATCTCATAGTTTAGTGCATAAACCGCATGGTGCAAAATCTGCAGTGTATGTGCACACGCCATTAAATTATGCACTGAAAACCGTTTTTCCTTCATCCTTTTTTACTGACTGAACCAGTACGTGTGGAGAAAAGAGAATTGATCATTTTAGAACAGCTGAATGTAAAAACTGTCAGCTGTTGTTCCTATCTATTTTTGTCTAAAATCTTCGTAAATCCCATAGTTTTCATGACCTAAGCAAACTGTGGTGTGTGGAGTTTCGACCAGAAAGCTGATTAAAGGGATACTATAGTCACCAAAACAACTTTAGCTCAATTAAGTGGTTTTGGTGTACAGACCATCCCCCTGCTGTCTCACTGCTCAATTCTCTGACATTTAGGAATTAAATCACTTTGTTTATGCAGTCATAGGCACACCTCCATGCATGTGACTTACACAGTCTCCCTACACACTTCCTGTAAAGATAGATCAAGGTCTAATGTTTAAACTTTGTGTTGCACAGTCTGTTTAGTTTAGAATTTCTTATTGAAATTGTACTGCTAGTATCTTGCTAGACCCTACAGGAGCCTCCTGTATGTGATTCAAGTTCAATTTACAGAGCAGGTAATACAAATTTCTAAAGCAAGTTACATCTGATTGAAATTGAAACCATTTTTTTTTAATGCGGGCTGTGCCAGTCACAGTCAGGGGAGGTGTGACTAGGGCTGTATAAACAGAAACAAAGTGATTTAACTCCTAAATGGCAGAGAATTGAGCAGTGAGACTGCAGAGGCATGATCTATACACCAAAACTGATTCATTAAACTAAAGTTGCTCAGAGTGTCCCTTTAACTACGATAAACTCCCATAAACTCCTCTAGTGCAAATAAACCATTCATGTGCTTTAATATGTGAGATATACTCAGCACTAACCTAGAAAAATAAGGTAATATCCACTTTCTGGTTTAATGGCTCACTACAGAAACAGAAAATCTGACGGATTGCAGCAAACACCAGAATGGATCGGTATATGTAACGCGTTATTTATATAATACATTAAAATGTGCCCCTATAAGGAGCAAATCATGACATAACAGAATAGAAGCTCCTTAAATAAGGATAAAGAACGTGAGCCTCCATTTATTTACTTTCAGTTGGTATCAGATATGATTCCATTCTGCTGGAAAAAAATACTTTTCAAACAATTTATCTGCAAAAATTCTCCTAGACTTTACTGGATAATTTCTGTAGATAAATCATTTAAAACGTTTTTCTAACATATTGGAATAATTTCTAATGCTGATTCAAACAATTCATAGTGAATTGTGGATAATTGACAAAAGAAATGAAATTTGAGCAAATTGCAGATCTGGATAAACCTGGCCATAATCTGTTTTTTTTAGCAGCACAGTCGGCTCCACGTCACATTTCCGCCATTTAATCTTCTCTCCTTCCTTTTTTCAGTTACGAACGAGCTGACATGGTCCGCTGCATCAAGTCCTGCCGACCAAATGATCTGACGTGCATTGCTGATCCGGTCCACACCATTTCCAACACGGTGATCTCTCTGCCAACATTCCGCGAATTCAGTCGCCCTGAAGGTAAATGTCTTGTGTTCTCTTAGTACAGTAACTTTCCGATACATAATGTCTCTAATATACACAGTGCAGACTGGGACAAATTATCCTAACTAGCTGCAGGCCGACACATTGCAATAGGCCAAAGTGCCTGAAATTTTATATTATTTATGTGTTTATTAAAAGATTAACTTCATGCTTATCATTAGAATGACTTTATGAATAAAAGCTTATATTTTAACTAGTATCATAAGCTCGTATTAATTGTGACTTGCATCAGTATATTAAGCTCCTTATTTCAACACTGACGCTATGACGTTGTGACGTTGTTTGCATCAAATTATTAAAAGGGCAAAAATGGCATGAGATTTTAGTCCCTGACATCGTTAGTTTAGTGTCGGGGTTTGGGGGTAGGTTTAGAGTTACCGTTAGGGTTGGAGGGTTAGGGTTTTGATTAAATGGTTTAGGTTAGAACTTGGTTTAACTGGTTAGGGTTACAGTTAGGTTTGGCCTTAAAGGGACGCTGTAGGCACCCAGACCATTTCAGCTCGTTGAAGCGGTCTGGGTACACTGTTCATTCCCCTTAACCCTGCAGTAGTCATTATTGCATTTATTGAGAAACTGCAATAATTACTATCCAGGGTTAACTCCACCTCTGGTGGCTGTCCGCATGCGCATTAGTTCCCTGACGTTCCTGCCTGACCCAGCTCAAAGGGACAATTGCTCTGTATTCAGGTAAGTGATAAAAGCGTTCTGTGCTGTGGGGGGTAGGGGTCACGTGAGCGAGGGGGGCACTATAGGGAGTTATAGTGCTAGGAATACAAGTGTGTAATCCTTGCCTATAGTTTCTCTTTAAAGGGACAACTTCATCTGCCCAGGAGGCACTCTTACCTCAAAGCGTTAAACCATTCTCGAACGGTTTAACCCCTAAGTTGCCTTTAGTGGCCTTTGTCAGAAGTTCTGATCGGTGGAATCAGTCTTTAATTTATTTGAACAAGCGAGGATTGATTTGATACAAAGGAGGTAATTTAATAATAACCATTAATTAAGTGATTCCCACGGATTCTTGATTGATGCTAATCTATAGACACAATAACAAACAAGATTGTACCAAAAATATATATTTATTAACTGTAAAATTCAGCTCAGAAACAGATAGAAATATCAATAATCAATAGAGCAGATCTAATAACATGCAAAACAAAACCCAATAGTCAATCTTCGTTTAGATAAAACAATTAATGGTTAAATCAGTGAGTAGGTTAAATACTACACATCAGGCAGTTAAAGCGGCACTCTCACCCTCCCCTCCCCCTGCAAAATGAGTGTTTTATAAAGAGAAAATCTATTATTGCGGTGAAGTGCCAGGAGCAGAAGAGGACCTGCTGGAGGAACATGGCAGCGTCTGCGAGGAACTGGTTCAGGTAAGTTAAACTCACCTCTCCCAGGCCACCAGTGGCAATGCCACCATTGGGGGTTTTAGCAAATTCTGACAGTGCCGCAGTAAACAAATATCGTTACATGAGTGTTGCGTTAAAACAGATATAAGTGATTTCTGATATTTAAAACTCAGTTCCGTTCTGCGCACGAATGAGTCATGTTAAAATGATACACTGTCTCACCCGGGGAGACGGCGAGGATTCTACTAACAACAGAAGTAGGTAAAGTAAAAGCTATTCCTTATTTAGAGTTTATTATTACTGAGTTTGATGCGTTTAGATTTTTAGTTAATTGCCCCTTTTTCTAAACATTTTGTTTTTGTAGAAATAATCTTCCTGCGTGCAGTAACCCCAGTCTACCCTCACGGCTTACAGCCAGAAATCAGTTTCCGCATTGCAGAAGGCAATCTCAGAGACTCCTTCGACATCCAGAAACGTTACATAGATGGAATGACAGTCGGTGAGTTGCATTCTTACAATTATTTTACAGTTTTTATGATATTTCTGCAGAAATTTCTTCTTTACTCTCAGTGTGCTCAGTGTACCCTCCTTTACTCTCAGTATACTCAGTGCCCCCTCCTTTACCCTCAGTGTACTCAGTGCCCACTCCTTTACTCTCAGTGCCCACTCCTTTACTCTCAGTGTACTCAGTGCCCCCTCCTTTACCCTCAGTGCCCACTCCTTTACTCTCAGTATACTCAGTGCTCCCTCCTTTACCCTCAGTGCCCACTCCTTTACCCTCAGTGTACTCAGTGCCCCCTCCTTTACCCTCAGTGCCCACTCCTTTACTCTCAGTGTACTCAGTAAGCCCCTCCTTTACCCTCAGTGTACTCAGTGCCCACTCCTTTACTCTCAGTGTACTCAGTAAGCCCCTCCTTTACCCTCAGTGTACTCAGTGCCCCCTCCTTTACCCTCAGTGTACTCAGTGCCCACTCCTTTACTCTCAGTGTACTCAGTAAGCCCCTCCTTTACCCTCAGTGTACTCAGTGCCCACTCCTTTACTCTCAGTGTACTCAGTAAGCCCCTCCTTTACCCTCAGTGTACTCAGTGCCCCCTCCTTTACCCTCAGTGTACTCAGTGCCCACTCCTTTACTCTCAGTGTACTCAGTAAGCCCCTCCTTTACCCTCAGTGTACTCAGTGCCCACTCCTTTACTCTCAGTGTACTCAGTAAGCCCCTCCTTTACCCTCAGTGTACTCCTCCGAGCTTCCTCGTTGGCTCCCCATCTCTTCCGTAATCTACGAGTGAAATCGCTGCTCTGTGTTACGTTTTATATAAATATTGGGGGGTTAACTAAGTCCATCAACTGTGGAACAGACACCACGCAATAAGGCAGCTTTGGGGTGAAATCACATAAAGGGCAGATAGGATAATGTGACCACGGTTTATCTACTCCAGGAAAAATGATCCCACTTACATCTTGTAGAAGAAAACCTTTTTCTTGAGAAAATTGAATGAAAGAGACGATCTGACTTATAAAATGCTTGACATTGGCTCTTTAATAAAAATGTATCTTTAAAAAATCCATAGATCCTGATTTATCATGGAAGACAGCCAGCCGCGCGGTCTGTGTCCTTGGAAGAGGGGGTTGTGGTCATTTCCAGACAGATAATTTGCTAGTGGATACATCGGGTGTTATTTGCTAAACAGTCAGCGAGTTAGACAATTCTCTTAATCACTGGGTTTTTTTTTTTGACAATTTATTGCAAGTTGGGGCCAACTCGGTGTGATATACTGTTTAGTTAATAAATCACTAATGTTTGTTTCTTTCTTGGTGAATTTTACAAAAGCTGATATTACCCTCAGCACGCTGAAAAAAACAGCTGAAATTAAGGATTTTTCTAAAAAAAATTCCATCTGTCTGTAAATGTACGATTTCACTGTCATTTCTCACAAATTCCCGTTTACGTGAATTCAGTAAATAGCGTCAGTGTTCGTATTTCACTAGTTTACACGTATTGTATATCCCATGTCCGTGAGGGGAGAGTCACAAACTGAGTTCTGGTAAATTAGTTAAAAATCAAGAAAATATGGGGTTTATTTACTAAGCAGTGAATTGCAATGAATTGAAAACTGAATTGCAAAACGTAAAGAACAGCACCTGGTATCAACATAGCTGCTCCGATATTTCAGCTTAAACTTACTGGGTCTGTATTTAATTTGCTATAATTAACCGTATAGTGAATAAACACCATGCAGTCTAATTTACTGCTGGGAACACAACATGTGTGATTTTTACATTTCTAAATTATAATAGAATTTAAATGTGTCATCTCTAAACATTCTTTTTACGTCCAATAAATGTTAATCTGATGTTGTCCTAAAATCATGGTCCTGCTAAATCCAACAGCTGACAATGGATTGTGGGAATTATAGTCCAGAAAGAGCTGAAGGGCTGGGATTGGGACCCTCCTAGAAAAAGATTATTGTGTATTTCGGATTATTTGATGTTTACTTAGTGCTCAGTAATAGTCATTGCATCCTCAGGTAATCTGGACTAAAACTCCCATTTTAAGCAGCACTCTGGGGTCATTGAGTGGTTGCCAAGACTGATGAGAGTTGTGATACACATCAGCCTGGGCTGCCAACACTTACCTGTTCCTCTTTGGTAACAGATAGCATTCATGTTTTTTGGTCGTTGTTTCCCAGTCTGTTTTTGTGAACGGGACAGTGATCATGTCTTACCTTTTGAGCAGGAATTATATTGAAATCTCTCAGCAGTAGGTAAGTTTATTCAACCTCTGACCCGTGTCATTGTTCTTTAGAACCATTCAAAGAGCTTATAGTGTCTTGATGTAAAAGGGCCACACAGAACTCCCGCTGATCTGACATTAATGCTACAACTTACTATTGACCTCTTAAAGCTTACTGGTTAAAGTTCATGTTTTGGCTGCACAGGCATCAGAGGATCATCAATTCTTTGCTTAGGAAAAGCAACAATTCTGTCTTTTCAGTAAATTTAGGAGCCATGCCTTGCAGCAGTAATGCACCTCTGAATAATTAAAACCCACCTTGTGGGATGTGTTGTTGGATACTGTAAGCACCAAAACAACTTTATCTTAATGAAGCAGTTTTGTGTATAGATCATGCCCCTGCCGTCTCACTGCTCAATTCTCTGCCATTTAGGAATTAAATCACTTTTGTTTCAGTTTCTGCAGCCCTAGCCACACATCACCTTACTGTGACTGACGCAGCGTGCATGAAAAAAATAGTTTAATTTTCAGTCAGCTCTAACAGCACAGTGTATTTACTTTAGAAGTTTTTATTTCCTGCTCTGTTAATTGAACTTTAGTAGCATACAGTAGGCAAGCTATTAAGTGGACAAGCGATAATTATTTTATTATATTGCAGTTGACATCATGAAATGTTATCATTTGTGTAAGGAAAATAAAATTTAGATCAGGAACACATTATCTTATATACACAGACTGATAGGATAGAAAAGAGGGACAAATGAGTTTGGGTCCAAACTAGTATAATAGTACATTTCACTATTATGTGTTAGACACTGCCCATTAATTTGCTTTAATCAAGAGTAAATTTTATAGAGAGATTCCACCTGCGTTTTAAAGGTCCAACTCGATGGAATTGAGTTGTTTTCGACATAGATGACTATGTAACCTTGTGCCCTTAATGAACTCTCCGTAATAACTATTTATCACAGACAATAATAGCTATTTAGATATTTATAAATCTGTGCTTGGAACGCGGTGAACCAGACATTGGATGTTGGGTTTGAATCCCAATGGAAATCAGGCCAGAATTCCCTGCATGTCGGTGCCAAACGTTGTTTGAACTATTTAAGTCAGAGCAATTTAGAGAGCTGTGTTTTTGTCAATTTAAAGACCTGGGGTTTGCTGTGGGGTCAACCAGTTTAAAGTTATTTCATATCTGCCAAACCGTGAGACAAGCGTTCTCCCTTCTGAAGTCAGAGATACTGCTCATTAACATAACTCAACTTCTCTCTATTACTCTGTCCAAAATGGCCACAACATAAAGATTTATTAAAGCTAAAGTTTCCTTTTAGTGTTACTTATATGTCACAAATAATTGTTCGTCACATTGAGGTTTTCCATGTAAAAGACCGATTAAAGTAGAAGAAGTACATTTTATACCCCCCTTTGTTCTACACCTGGAATATACTTATTACTATACCGGTCTTTCCCCTCCAATTCCCCCTCCATTTTTGTAATAAATGATGTAATAGCCCAGTGCTATGCTAATTATTAAAGGACCACTATAGTCACCCAGACCACTTCAGCTCAATGAAGTGGTCTGGGTGCCAGGTCCCTCAGGTTTTAACCCTTCACATGTAAACATAGCAGTTACAGAGAAACTGCTATGTTTACATTGCAGGGTTAATCCACCTCTAGTGGCTGCCTTCCTGACACTCGCTAGAGGCGCTTCTGCGATGCTGAATGCGAAAATCGCATTCAGCGTGCAGAATGTACATAGGAAAGCATTGCAAAATGCTTTACTATGTGCGTTTTTAATGGCCGCACATGCGCATTCCACGTCGGAGTGGGCGGAGAGGTCACCAGCGCAGAGGGAGCCCGGCGCTGGATAAAAGTAAGTGGCTGAGGGGGATTTAACCCCTTCAGCGCCAAGGGAGGGGGGCCCTGAGGGTGGGGGGAACCTAAGGGTTATATAGTGTCAGGAAAATTAGTTTGTTTTCCTGACACTATAGTGATCCTTTAATATTTAATATTTAATATTTTATGTTTCTATAAGGGCTACTAAACATGGATTCATGGATTGCAGGATAAAACTTACCAGGAAAGGTTAAAGGAACTTAACATGTGTAGCTTGGAGGAAAGACGAGACAGGGGGGATATGATAGAAACATTTAAATACATAAAGGGAATCAACACAGTAAAGGAGGAGACTATATTTAAAGAAGAAAAACTACCACAACAAGAGGACATAGTCTTAAATTAGAGGGGCAAAGGTTTAAAAATAATATCAGGAAGTATTACTTTACTGAGAGGGTAGTGGATGCATGGAATAGCCTTCCAGCTGAAGTGGTAGAGGTTAACACAGTAAAGGAGTTTAAGCATGCGTGGGATAGGCATAAGGCTAATCTAACTATAAGATAAGGCTAGGGACTAATGAAAGTATTTAGAAAATTGGGCAGACTAGATGGGCCGAATGGTTCTTATCTGCCGTCACAGTCTATGTTTCTATGTCATTGTATATGTTATTGATTGCCATACAATGTATAGATAGCTGTGAATACTTACTCATTGTCCTGATTTTTACAATAAAATAGAATCTGAAAATAGCACATCCTATGTACAATAGTCAATCCCCTATAAAAACGAGACATTGCTTTATACTTGTGGTTATAAATTATATACAGTCCTCGATTCAAACCTGTAATTGGACAATAACATATTTTAATGATTTCCTGTTGCCTTGCTCAGTCCCTACTTTTTCTTTCCAAACAGGAGTTGTTCGTCAAGTGAAACCCATTGTAGGACCATTCAACACCGTCTTGAAACTTGAGATGAATTACGTGGTTGGAGGTGTGGAGTCCCACCAAAATATTGTCAACGTCCACATCTTTGTCTCAGAATTTTGGTTCTAAAAAAAGTAAATTTTCTGAAGATCAGGCAGTTGCCTCTTGTGTACAACAGTAATACATGTTTGTATTAGGTTTTGTGGCTGAAATTACTGCTAAGGATTGGTTCTACACACTTAGTAGACCAGGTAGTACCAACATCATCAAGTTTTCTTAAATGTAGATACATTTTGCAGTCGATGGCTGAATATTAACCTGGCGTATCTTTTACAAAATAAAAAATGCTAGCTAAAAGTAAGGATGAAAAAAAACTGAATGTTTTACAGAATTTTAATAATTGATCAAAAAAATTCAAATTAATTCCTAAATATTTAAAGAGGGAATACAAGTCACTCAAAACATGACTTACTCACTGGAAAATGTTTAATGAAAGGCCAGTTTTAGCATTATTAACAAAACAATTTTGTATTGTGCTTTTAGATCATTGGGAAAATGGAGACACAATTAAATGATTCCCAAATTCAAGTTATATAGGAGACATGAAATCCAATTTTCTGAAGATTTTGTCTTTTGTTTTTTTCTTTTTAAATTATTGAGGGAAATAATAAAATGAACGTAATAGTGATTTTACATAGACCGTAAAGATTATTCTAGCCAACAAGTCTACGTATCGTAGGGATGTTCTCATGATTCCATTTTGTAAATAAATGCCGTATCAAACATTAAAAATATTACCAATAAGGCACTTGCTTTGACTTGTAGTCAACATGTTGCTAAAATCTGAATTTACGGTAAATACATCCAGAAAAATAAAATTTATAGTTGTCACAAAGTGGGGCAATTTGAAACATTGTGTCAGTCAAACTATCAATCAGGGTTAGTCTTATCAGCCGGTTATTTACAAAGATACAAACGGGATTAGAAAAATTAAAAGTGCTGGAGTGGACAGCTTTAAGAATTAATAAAAAAAAATAAAACAACAACAAATCTTAGTAATTCTTGTAAATCTCTACTTTCCCCCCCTCAATTAAATGTATATTTTAATCTATAGGAGATTTCTGGATGATTATTTGCTTAAAATGAAAATATCTGCTGCAGTTTTTCCATATTCTCACCACTCCTTGTAAAATGAATAATGACACAAAATTGTGTTCATAACTCCGACTTAAAAATCAAATGTTCATAAATTCACCATATACTAATTAATGTACGTGTTGTCCCCAAGAAGCGTAGTGCAAGCTCATCATTAGACGCCCTCGCTCTACACTCAGGACATTAGGACCACTGAAACAGTGCTCCCGGCATGTCCTGCCATCAATGGTCTGGCCTGTTTGGTTGGCAGACAGCCTGATGTGCATTCACACCAGACTTACATCCAGTTCTTCAGATGGGCCTGTCCACATTCCAGGCAGGTCCATCTGCTTTGGGTAGCGCCAGTGAGCAATACTTTTCATTTTAACGACTATTTGCACAATTACCATTGTGTGTTTCTGAGCAAAATGCCATAAAGGCTGTGGATAACTGGCATGTTTATTCAATATGCAATTAAAGGTTTATTTACTAAACAGTGAAGTTAACATTTAATAAAAGTTAAACATTCTCAAATCTTGCAACTTGTCCTTTTTTGACTTTATGTTACAAAATCGGTTTTCTTTTGACCACATTTCACTGTTTAATAAATAAACCGTTTGGCAATTCTGCTGCTTTGGGGGATCTGGGAGTTTTGGGTCAGAGCTTAATTAAGATCATTGCATAGTTAGTAAGATTGCTCCTTAAAACTGGACGAAGAACTGTCTTAATGATGGATTACATGTTCGCAGTGTACTACCCAGAGTCTGGGGCTAATTTTTCTAATAAAAAGGCTAATTACAAAAATCAATAAGGTGTTAATAAAGATATATTTTGTATTCAGTAGACCAAAATGTATACAGTAAGATAGGACGATGTATTGCTGAAAGAATGTATTTTTCCCGTTTCAGATTGTCTTTTTACACTTGTTTTTCTTTAGTTATCCGGAAAAATAAACACTTGATAAATCCTTGTCTGTGTCACTGAGATTCAATGCACCAAAACATAGCTTCTCTATATTTCCCATAAGATTATCTTCCAGTCTACTGCTGCTGGCTCTGCCCCTGATCTGCCTGCTTGACTGATATCATCAGAAGTGGAGCTTTGAGCCAATCACAATGCTTTCCCATAGGAAAGCATTGGATTGGCTGAGATTGTCAAAGAGGCAGATCAGGGGCAGAGCTATCACAAGCCAATCACAGCCCTGGACAATCAGCATCTACTCATAGAGACACATTGAATCAACACATCTCTATGAGGAAAGTTCAGTGTCTCCATGCAGAGGGTGGAGTCACTGAATGTCAGTCACACTCTGCAGCACTGCCCCAGGAAGCTCCTCTGGCAGTCATCTGAGGAGTGGCCGGTGGAGGTATCCCTAGGCTGTAATGTAAACACTGCCTGACGGTAATGATTCTACTCACCAGAACAAATACAATAAGCTGTAGTTGTCCTGGTGACTATAGTGTCCCTTTATTTAATTATGCACTTTGTCAATGGGGGCATACCTAAAAACCGAGGGGGAAAGCTGCAGATGTCACAGACTTCCCAATGCAGCTCAATGAGAAGTCTTTGCAAAGCAGGTGCTCTGGGTAATTGCTGCTTCTTGCGTTTATCTCTACTGAGCTAAACAAACCAGGATGTAACAGACGTGTTGCCTCACCCTATGGACTGCCACTCTGATCCTTTATTACAGTTCTGTCTAACCTAGGACATAATTCAATATTTTTGGATAACGTTTTCAAATGATTTAATATTTTTGGATAAACTTTTGAAATCAATCTTTCAAACTATTAAAATATCATAAAAAATATATCATTTATAAATAATATCAATATAAGAAACAATATATTTAAATATAAATATATTTTTCAAAATATTAATTAACTTTAAATGTTTATTCAAAAATCTTAAATCATTTGAAAAGCTTATCCAATAATATCAAATCAAGGCCGTATGTCTTAATTTAATTATTTTGGATATGCATTTCAATTGATCACAATATGTTTTATATAGAAATCTATAGAAATTGTTTACTTAAATAATTATAAAAAGTACCAATATTGATTTTCCACAGGAGTGTAATATTTGGGATTTGTCTTCATGACGTGCCCATTCTTCAGTGTGAATTGGATCAGTTGTTTGTGGATTCCACCTCTCCTGATGACGTCTACTATTGATGATGAATTTAGCTTGGCCAGTAGACCAGGATACACAGAATGGAGATTAGGATTTAGCTTTAGGACCACCGCTATCCACGAAGGGACTTGCATCAAGTAGTACATGCTGTGCCAACATTATGGCTGTTAAGAGTATTGTGGAAGGTGTAGTTCATCTGGACTCTGGAGTGCAAAAGGATGGCTATGCTGTCCCCTGCTATAGGAGAAGAAAATGGAAAGTTAGAAATTAAGGACATTTGATTATCAAGGCTATTACAAAAGCTGCAGAATAAAAGTCATCCATTGTACGATAAAAGATGGCTCAGCATGTAGAAAAACTGGAAGCCGAAATGAGATTCGGGGTTAACAGGATTTACTCAAACACTGGTGCCAGATATTTAATTGGCCAGAATTGTAAAGGGACACTATAGTCACCTGAACAACTTTAGCTTAATGAATCAGTTATGGTGCATAGAACATGCCCCTGCAACCTCACTGCTCAATCCTCTGCCATTTAGGAGTTAAATCCCTTTGTTTATGAACCCTAGTCACACCTCCCTGCATGTGACTTGCACAGCCTTCCATAAACACTTCCTGTAAAGAGAGCCCTATTTAGGCTTTCTTTATTGCAAGTTCTGTTTAAGATTTTCTTATCCCCTGCTATGTTAATAGCTTGCTAGACCCTGCAAGAGCCTCCTGTATGTGATTAAAGTTTAATTTAGAGATTGAGATACAATTATTTAAGGTAAATTACATCTGTTTGAAAGTGAAACCAGTTTTTTTTTTCATCAATGTCAATCATAGCCAGGGGAGGTGTGGCTAGGGCTGCATAAACAGAAACAGTTTTAATTTAGGTGACTATAGTGTTCCTTTAATTATAGGAAATTTTAGGATTTCAAAAATACCAAGGATTAGTATACAGAGGAGTTCCCTAAGGCAAATCCTAACACAAATTCACCTAACTATGGTATATTGTCTCTATATAGGCAGCTACCAGTCCTAAGTTCACGTGACAAGCGACTGACGAATTGTAACGGGACCAAAACCAGCTGGAGAACAATTGACCTGGTTATTCACTTCAATTTGTAAGCTGCCAGGAATTAAACGTGAATTTAACAATTTACAACAAAACTGTTGATGAATATGATGATAGGATTTAAGATTTATGGATAAATTTTAATATTATATTAAACATATAATTAAATATAAATATATAAATAATTCAATATTGTTTTGTAATTTTCTAGAATTGTAACAGGAATGGGAAATTGTTTGGGAACTGAGTAGAAGTAAATGTCAGTCTATCGCCCCATTTGAAATGGGTTTCCTGAAAAAAGCTATGTGTACTTTGCTTCAGCGAAGGCTAGCCTTCTATTGTGTGGGGAGTTCAAGCCTTTTGCATTGAGAGAAAGCAATATAAGATTCATTTGCACCACTGGAGTATGTATGTGTGTAGTTTGTGGGGGTTCACCTCTATATGGAAGTTGTCCCATCTATGGTCCTCCCTCATGGAACTATATATTTTGCAATTTTTGTAAAACATTTTTGGATTTGTTTCCATTTTTTTGTTTTTATTTGTAGAACAATTTTTGGTATTTTTTGGTCCTATATGCCAAGTGAGTGATATATCACTTGTGTGCAGATTCCTTTACAGGGGTTGTGTTCCAGAGCCCTGGAGCTTGGTGGAGTCTGTGTGTCCTATGCCGGGATTTATCCTTATCTGTCATAACACTGTCATTATGTATACAGGCTAGGGTTTGATGGCTCGGATGCTTTTAGTATTTCCAAAAGATCAGCACAAGAAGTTAGGGGTGATGGTTATGGGACTCTAAAGACTGATGCAAGTAGTTTGCAGTGCATCTATCATGTAAGGTCAAGGCATACATTTGGCAACTCAAATAAAAAAAAGAAAAGGAAAGGAAAATAAAGTAAGAATAACAACATAACTATTTAATAAGGCCGTTCGAATGTGAAGTGTAGTATTACGAACGTCAAACAGTCGGCTCCCAGGAGCCAGGGGGGAAAGGTGGCCATATGGGGAGGTAGGAACTTCATTCTATATAAGGGTTACTGTTGGGTCTATGCCCCTTAAACTGCTCCAAGGTCTAGGCCTACCCCAGAATTGGGTATATAGGCCTGTGAAACATGTCTAGGATTACACCTGGGTGAGCCTTCACTTATCTGCAACCACAGCGTCCCAGTTCCTAGATACTTTCGCAGGTGTCAGCCGTGTTCGGAGCTTGCATTGGAATTTTCAATTCCCTGAGCACTCTGGAGCTGTCCTCCGCATTGAGAATATGGCATTAAATTATTTGAAAAAGCTTGTCCATAAATATAAAATGTAATGTTTTAAGGAAGCTTTATTTATGCCAGCAAAACAATTACAACATTACAATAAGGGAAATAAGCAACGTATAAGACTCGCAGGTCTCTCATAGAAACATTCAGCAATGTGACAAAGCCTAATAAAGTCAAGCGACATGTAAAGCAACCAATGTAAAGCAACAATTAGGGCCTGCGGAAATTCCAACCATTCTAGTTTGAGTGTAATTTTTTTTTTTTTAACATTCTGTTTTTATTGGTATTTTTCGCTTAAAAAGGGGATACAGAAGAGAAAGGGTTGGGTGTGGTACCAGCATAAAGCATTGGACCTTCTACAGTGTCGGTTATGACGTTCTGTGGTTGAATATAGTCATTACGATGATTAGGACCGTGTACAGGTTTGGGCCTCCATTAGGGGGTGTATCTTCGTTGCGGTCAGATCCTGCACAACGTTGTGGGTGTAGCTGATAGTGGTGCGAGGTCTAGGTGGCTCGTTCGAGGCGGCTGCTTCACAGTGTGCTGGTCATCTATTGGGTAGGTGCCCATTGCTTGCACCATGGGGTCATGTATATACAAAAACTGGTGTGGGTTATGAAGGGGGTTGGGGTTCTGGCCGTTTGTGGGTCTATATGTGTCTGGGCTGATGTTCGGCTGCTAGGTGTGTCGGCCTGACTCCTGTTACAGGGCATTGGGGATGTGGGGAGAGGTCTAGAACTATGTACAAGTAGTAAGTGTTATGTATGTGTCGTTTGATATTGAGGTTAGTGAAATGTGTCATGGGTGGAGTAGAAGAGTGTGAGAAGAGTTAAGTGAAGAGGAGAAGGATAAGTCAGTTTGCAAGTGTTCCCGGAGAGTTCACTGGTGGGGTTAACAGGGGAGGGGTGCTTTTGGGATGGAGGGGGGGAGTGGGTGAGTGGGTGGTGTACTCAGGGGAGGTCTTGCAGCCTTAGGCCTGGGGGGCAAAACCAGTCAAGTGGCCCATTGCACCACCAAATCAGTTCACCATCCATGCCCACCTTTTCCTGGTTTTATAACGGATATTGATGTTATGCTAATCAGTAGCTCTTTGCCATACCCGCTCCTTCACGGCTCTGACTTTCAATGTTGTCAGATCGCAGGCTGATAATCTCTGAGCCTGTGCTCTGACTCACTAACTGAGTGCCGGAACCATGAGGGAGAGGCTATAATCTGACTGCACCTACTGCTAGTGTCCCCAACTTGTGAGCTGTGTTGGCTGCCGGGTGCCTCTGTTGTGATGGCACCCTGCGCGACCGCACAGCTTGCACACCCCAACTGCTGGCCCTGCTGACACACACTGATGTTACTACTTAGACATCCCTCAATATTAATACAGACATCATAGTAAACACCAGTAAACTGTGGAAACAGAGCTGATCCCCCCAATTTATAAAGATTTGTTGTAAGATTAAATCATGCCTCCTCTCTCTCGCCCATGCGCTGCTCAGTAGGCTGGGAAAAAGTGAAGAGTAATCACATTCTCTCAGCACAGCGCCACCTGTGGCTGCATGGGGAACAGCTGTTTAATGTAATGCTTGCAGGACGGCCAGCTGCCGCAGAACCTCTTTGTTTCCGGCTCTGCAAAGGGCTCCAGGCACTGCTTGTTGTATGTGTGAGCCACTGTAAATTAGGGGCAGAGGGGCAATCAGTGCACTCCCCTCCTGTGGGTCACCGGTAGACTGGTGCATCTGCCCAGGATCAGAGCCGGTGCAAGGATTTTTGCCGCCCTAGACAAAAGAAAAATTTGCTGCCCCCCCCCCCCATGTGACATCACAATGCCCCACCCATTAGAAAGTCTGCAGGGACCAGCTATAGACACCAGAACCACTTCATTAAGCTATAGTGTCCCTTTAATGTGAGGTAAATTATAGATTAGTGTCACTAATAATATGCTAGATTGCCTACTTACAACCAGATGAGGATGATGATGGGCTGCAGTTTGGCTCCACTGGTCT